GATACCAGCTCCTCAGAGGTGAACCGCTGGGTTACCTTTATTGTAAAACGGAGAATTTTTTATTTTTTAAATCAAGTCAAGACCTGTATGAGTTGAAAAAAAGAGACAAATATACTTTTAGCTTAAAATCTAGTAAGCAAAAATCAAAGGCACCTCATCATCTACAATGCTCTCAATTCCCCTTCGAGTGAAATAGAAACAGTCGCTAAGTGTGAAGTCGCCTCCTACTGGCGGTTTGGGTCTACTGCGTCGGAGTTCCTCCAACTCTTTCTCCATCGAGCCGTGTTCCCTTTGGATGAGTCCTGATGAAGAAAAAAAACAGATAAAATAAGAGTCAAAGTCAAACTCAATCACTTGATAGCAATCTGGATGAATTCCTCTCCATATCTCCTCAGATTATCCTCAATAGAAAAGAAAACCAAACACAAAGCAAAAGGAAAAAGTTTACTTAAAAATAATTTTAGCAACAGTTGATTAAAATGTGATATTTATTCAAAAAGAGCAACCAAACTTCGTCCAATTATAGTTTTTCACTTATGTTTTTTTTTTTTTTCTATTTGTTTTCTATGTTGTTCAGATGCCTCATGAAGTCACATAAGGCAACCGAGTCCATTTTACTATATCTATTTATATTGTTATTTTTGCTTCATTTATTTGCATGTTTTTATTTGAATTTTACTGGTCATGGTGTTTAGCTCCATTCTGCACCACTGTAGCATTTAAGTCTTTGTTCATTTGAGGAAAATTTAGATAAATTCTTGCACCTTTTATGGAACGCTAACAATACATTCTGCTGGGAAGTACCTTAAATTCGAATTTTCTCTTAGAGGCTTTACCAGTTATCAAATAACAAACTGCATCGTGCAAAGAAGTCCTTCTTTCAATGACTGAAGCTCACTCTAAGGCAGTAAAAGTTATCTATCTTTCTCCCTGAACGATCTCGGTACAGTTAGCCTGACAGCACAGCTTCAAAGTCCAAAGCCTGATCTACCAAAGTCCGTGTTGGATACTTCAAACCTTTTGAGCATTTATTTTTGAAGCATTATTAATTTAACCGTTCTTATCCACCGTGAACAGCGTGCCAGAGACGCATTTGGCCTCTACAGAGACCTAAAAAGCAGTTTTTGCTGACAGCTGCTTTGCATTTATATGCTGCTGCAGGAATCATAGCCCATGCAGCACGGCATCAGATAAGGAGTTGAGTAATTGTGTCTTTTGAGATACTCTAGGTAGGGTTATTTGCTGCATAAATGTTTCTGTTCCTGAGTCATTGTCTCTGTATCCCTAAAAACATAATATTTTAACTCGACAAAGTAAAGATATTATTAAACTGTTGTAGGATAGTGTCAGCTTTTGCTAGGGCACAGACCACCACGTCATTGCAACATGCCTGTTCAGACTTGCAAAAGAGAAATCCAGTATTGCAACAAAGACAATTGGGTCCCTAAATCTGTATTCATGTTTTACAGCCAAGAACACAGACAGTCTCACCATTAGATGCAGAAGCTTTAGCACTTTCTTCTTCTGCATTTGCTTTCTGTATGTTCAGAGTGGCCCACTGTGGAAGAGGTCACACAAAAGACAAGTCAAGTGTGTATTGGATTACCTGGATGATTTTAAGCATGTGATTTCATGTGGCCATACCTCTAAAGTCTTCACCAGGATGTTCATGTAGGTCTCAGAGATGCCCAGAGAAAATCCAAACATGGCTGGGATCATAATGAGGCAGACAATGAGGTAGAGCCAGATCTCTGTGGCCCAAAGGACCCCTACCCAGAAGTTCTCCATCCCTCACGTTATTCCCTGAGGTTCACCAGCCCTGTGGCTCAGACGCAGTGGGTTTACTACAGGAGACAAAGAAAGAAACAACTCTTAATGTGTAGTTTAGGTTTATCTCATGTAAAAAAATAAAATAATAAGTAGTACTCAATATTTATCTATTTAGTGAAATTCAAAGGCAATATAAACAGGAAATAAGCATAAAGTCCACAAACTAGCACAGGTGATTCAACTAAGTTCAAAGTATCAAAAGGTCATTTTACAATCACTGACACAGACCCAGTCAAACAACCACAGATCAATATTACATTTAAACCTTTGTGCTTACAGAAATAAATGGAGCAACCAGATATAGAACGATATCAAAGACTAAAGCTTTTCCTCACTGCGTTAGTTTTCTGAAATCATCAGCGGCAGAAGTTCTCAGATTACAACAGCTCAACTTACGCACCAAGCTGCACTCCATGTTCTGGCTGTCTGAGGTCTGAACTGGACACGCAGAACAAAACCACGCCCATTTACTACTTGAACAAAGTTCACGGATTCCGGGTCAAACAGCGCCCTCATGTGTTCACCTAGAAAAGAGCAGACACGTGGACCAGGACCAAAAAAACACTTTCATCGACCATAAATGTTCATTATCCTGTCATGCATGCAATCCATGCATCCATGCAATTAGTTGTTTGACATCTGATCACTCAATAAACCCAAGTACAGACTCATTCAACTATTGTAAGTAAATATATTTTCTTTGCATTAAGCCATGAGTTTGAAACAATACTAATTAATATAAATATATCCATTTACAATAATAAAAAGGAAATTCAAAACTTAACCTATTTAACTTGAAATTAGTAAAAGAAAAAAGCTTACTTATGCTGCAATATTTTCACATCACAAATATTTTGAGGTCAAACATCTTCTTTCCTGTTTAAAATAAATATTTATTAAATCTTCTCCTGTTAGCATACCATGCAACCACTTATTTATTTTAAAAACAAATAAGTGCTTATCATCTGTTTTTATCATAGGAATAGCACTTTAATCTTTTCCTGAAACTACCACAAAGCCTTCAGGGAGCCAGACAAAAATAAAGGGGCTCAGACAGATTACTCACCCCAACACTTGGGGAAGCCATAATGAGGAATGTGTGCAACAGTCTCCCTGCGTCAATCCCTCTCTCTCCCACCTAACACTAACAAAAGGTCTTGATAATTTTCCAGGTTCAAAGATTTCACAGTCTGATGAACATTACTGTAACTGGGGGACGTAAAGGGGTCAGTTTAGGTTTGGTCTCTGTGAGCAATAGGATGGTAATTCATACTGGGATTATTGTACATCCAGAGAGCACTCTGGATATATTTACAGAAATGTGACCTGGAAAAGCACATATTATTTAAGAATTGTAAACTTCTTCATCTAAACATTTGGAATCCATTCAACCAATGAAACATTAAGAGCAAAACTTCAATATGGCTTTTTCAGTCAAAGTTTGCCCTTTCCTAAAATAAGGCATCCATGCCTGTAATATATCACCAGACAACATGCTATTTGTTTTATAATGCTGTGGGCGTGTTAGCTCCACTGAAGGAAATTGCTTGTTAGTTTAAATATAGCTGCTTTTATTCCAAGTTTCCATGCAAAGAAATCTTTACTTCTGCTACATATTTGCTGCACTGGGTTCCTGTAAAAGGAACTCCCAAGTATAGCCCATTAGCATTGGTATTATTGTTTTTTACAAGCAGGCTAAAATTTATCACTCTACAGATAAAGTCTGGCTGTGACTGTGTGTGCTTTTGGGTCAGGGTGTGAGGTATGGTACAGAAAAATCATTTCCTTGAAGCAAGTTTGTAACAAAGCATTTTCACATCTATTTTTCAAAGTACCAGCCCAAAATGTATTCAGATCCTTCTTTACTCGCAATTGAGCCATGGCCAAATTGCAACAACGTTGAGATAAGTCTGTGGTAGGTCCATAACCACAAACTCATAGGCAAACTTCTTTTGTACTTTGGAAGAATAAATAAACAGACAGAGAGTGCTGCCATCAGGCTGCAGATTTATGAGCTGACTGTATTGTCTGGCTTTGTGTTTGTCATAGAGTGAGACCATGCAGGAGGCAGTGTGTCATGTCTCTGTGGCTTTTGAGCCACAAATAAATCACACAAACTGACCTACAGCAGTATGAGTATTAAAGGAGGTTACAGCCTTCAGACAGTACAATTGAGCAAAGCCTTTAATTCAGTTCATTTCAGCTTAAGTTTATGGTGCCAAACCAAAGCCACTTCATGGAAAAAAAAAAAAAAAATTATATACAGAAACATAGAAGCGTGATTCCAAACACACTCAAATGCATTTGCGTACATTCCAGTTCAATCCTAGTCATAAAGCACTGCAAGCAAGTTTGGTTAATTATGCAAATTACTAAAAAGATTCATATCACAGAACTTTAGGCTGAATGCATCGAGCCGCTTACTTTGCAGCAAACTCTCGTCCTGAACAAGCTTGCTGCAACAGTGGACAATCGCTCACTTTTAACTTTTAACTCTGCAATAATCCCTCATTCTTAGATGCATTTAGCAACAAGAAATCTCCAGCATGACCTGCGTCAGCATGAATATCTGCTACCACCAACTGAGGGTTTGAGATGACAGAATACACTTTTTTTTTATGGAACAATCCATTTTGCTAGTTTATATCAGGAAATAAATAAATGTACAAATTAACATTCAGTCTCATAGAACTATTGAGAACATGCACTTGGCAATGCTCCTCAAGCCAATACTGAAACTTGTACCCAAGAAATGTTTGCTCTTGAATTTCAAAATGCATGTGTTTCCACAGGTTGTGCCTTAGGTTTGACTTTTAGACTACAACTTATGCTTCTGAAGATAAACAAAAAAGATAAAAAGGAAATATGACATTTTTTTTGGAGTGGAGTTTTTCTCCCTATCATTATGACTTTATATACAAAAGCACAGTAAAAAGAATAGCACATAGCACATATGTAAAAGTCTGTTATAAGATAACTTCAGACTGAAAAATCAAATCAGAACACTCAATCAATTAAAGAGAATACATGTTTTACCAGATATAATTTATGTTAAGCTTAACATAAAAAAAAGAAAAAGTGTATTCTGTCATCTCAAACCCTCAGTTGGTGAAGTGAAAAAATATAAATAAAAAAAAAATCACAGAATTTAGAAATTGTGAGATTGCTCACAATTAGATAATCACCTTAAATCACCTCAATGTCATTTAAATGTTGTCACTAACACATCAAGCGTCTGGGGACATAAAAGAAAGAACCTTATGTCACAATGAGAGAAAATCCCCCCAAGCTAATATTAAAAGCCTGTAGCTCGGTGTGAAAATGTTTACAAGCTGTGATGCTTGCCAAATATTTCAGAATTTACTAGTGTTGACAAAGCGTGATGCTCGGATTTTAGTGTTTTATAAAAGAATTTCAACATATTTTTAATCTTGCATTCTCTCTCTGGATAGATTTAGGTTAGCGCTCTTTAAGGCATTGGAATAAAACTTAATATCTGCATACAGCCCGTTGGCGCCTTAATGATCCAACTCATTTGCTTGAGCGTCGACACGAGTTGAAGATGCGCTGCTGCATCAACAGACAAGTCCGGACAGGAGGGAAGAAGCAGACATGGTCCATTCAAACCAGGGAACCCTCTTCCTCTGCTTCCCCCACGCTCCTGTGAGGAAAGTAGATACTCCTCCTCCTCCGTCCTCCACCGAGAAGGGAGCTTTCTCTCCCCTAAAACCCTGATCGGGCTGCCAGTCCCTCCTCGGAGCGTGTCCCCCTCCACAATCGGAATCTGAGCCTGTTCATGTCATGACCCGGAGCAGTGCAGGATCGAAGAGGTCGACTCCTCCAACCAGCCTGGCTCTCCGATGCAGATGACTCTTCTCCCGGGTTCCCACTTTGGTTCTTATGAAATATGCGATGTTCGCTGGAGTGCTCGCTTCTCTTTCGGCTGCACTTTGTTTTCATGTTGGCAGCGGGCCACGATGAGCTATCTGCCAGACTCCTCTCCCTCTCCAGCGAGCAAGGTCAGTGCAGTGTGGTTGCATGGAAGCAACTTTTTTTTTTGTGCAAATCTCTGCAGAGTGCATGCATAAACAGTTTACTTTGCTATTCTATAGGTCATTTGTCCCAGTCTGGCTCAGACCCATCCATCGTCCATCCCGTGAGAATCAGCGCTGATGGTGAGTTTGTCTCTCACTCCGTGTCTCACCATTTCAAGACCGGGAGATCCAGGCGTGCACTGCGGTCCCTTTCTCCAGAGGGGCAGGTCTACTACAAGCTCAGCTACAATGGTCGAACCTTAATGTTCAATTTGACCAAAAACCATCACCTGCTGTCAACTGAATACGTCCTGGAGAAGAGGAATGGCAGTGCTAGCAGGGCTGAGCCTGCCCTGTCTGACGGGAACTCCTGCCACCTTCTTGGCACGGTGGAAGCCCATGATGTTAAAGGAACGGCTGCCATCAGCACCTGCAAAGGACTGGTAGGAAGTCCTTCTACTTTACTAACTATATAGTATAAAATAGTTTATTTTAAGCCCAGTCTCATTCATCAGAGAAAAAAAAAGTGGTCTAGTTAGTTTTATTCAAATAGAAAAGATTTAATACAGGCACAGCTGGCTGATATCTGATTACAGAAGTGTCCAGACTGCAGTCAGAACTTGTCAATTGAAGTTTTAAAGCAGTGTTGCCGTTTTAAATGATTGGTGTCGTTGGTTCAGGTTCCATTTTGTAACCATAAGAAGCTGCAGTTGCCTTTTTTCAGCAGTGTGCAGCCAAAGGTAGGTTATAATGAGTGCTGCACTGCTATATGTGCCGCACCGGCTGCACTTTTGGCATGTAATTAAAAGGACTTTAAATTGTAGAAATGGTGTGACGTCCCAAAGCAGGATATGTTGATTTGAGTGATTCTCAAATGGAAAAGGGTGCACTGCCCCTTGTAGGTTGGGGGTCAGTCTCTGCCCCTAGAAGATGAGAAGATCAAGCATCTTGATATGCCTAAGGTGACTTGTTCACAAGTGATGATGGCATGGACCAGGAGGGGCACTAATGGATTGGGATTTTGTCTGTAGCAACACAGGCACTACTCTGGACTGTGGTGGTGAAGAAAGAATCTTGTAAAAAAGTAAAACAATTTGTGGACCCATTAAAGTACCTGAAGCAGACCCAGAACGCAGCAAAGGGATGGTAATTTCTTTAGGATTCCCCAGAATCAGCCAGTATAAGGGGTGTGTTGGTTCTCCTCCTGGACTTGTTACCTCTGTGGCCTGATCTCGGCTCACTGGAAGAAAATGGATGGGTTGGAGGAACTTTAGATGAGAAATGCTGGAGGTTTTGGACGTGTCACTTTTTAAAACCCTGCATTCCTTGCTGCAGGTAGCCAGCTCACACCTACTCTAAGCAGATATGTGCCCCAGGCAACCAGCAGACTCCTCTACCTGACAGTGTTGAGTTTGTTGGTTTGCTCTTCAAAGCCTTCCTGACACTGTTTGCAGAAGGTCTGTTCTGCAGACTCACTGACTGCTGCTGCTTCACATCTTTTCCTTTTCACCGGCACCCTTTAGCTTTCTTACACTCTTATTGCCGCTGTCTGTACTTGCAGAATGTCTTCATGAACTCCATCTGAGCATGCAGTGTCTCTTTGTTCTGTGCTCGGGATAGGGCTTCTGTAACAGCTTCTGGCATATCTTATTGCATGGAAAATAAGGTGTGACAGACAGAAACCCAGGGAAACCTGCTTCTTTCACTTGAAGGTATTTACTTTGGCTGTAGTGTTTCTGACCAGATGAAGAAGCCAGCTGGACAGCAGGTTTCTAGGAATAACATTCCATAAAAGGTTGACAAGAATCACAAGATAAATTTATGTATCAAATATATTTTGTAAAGCCTTTACTCAACATAAATGCCTTATTTATCATGACAAGGTTTATACAAACAACCAAAGAGGGAATGAATGAAGAACATGAACAATTGGTTTGTGGGAAAAAGTGATGTTCTAACTTCTTATATTGAAGTGTGCCTCAGTGTGTGAGTGCATTGCTCAATTGTGTCACAACAGGAATTCCTCATCCAACTACTTTTCAGTTACGCTTGACTAAATTGTGTTATGTCTCCCGGACTTGTATTTCTTAATTTGTCACACATGACTCATAATGAGACTGAAATGATGACGGGAGCCTGGAAAATTTATATCTTTGACCCACTTTTCATCTTCCTTCAGGGAAAAGAATGCCTTACGTAACGTTAAATTCGGACTCTCTAGTCTTACAGTGTTTAAAGTACTCTTTGTACAAAACCAAATGTTCTCGTTGTCATCCTTAACCTGCTGCAGGATGATGTATTGCATTGTACAGAACTGTGGATAAAGGTTTATAGCAGCTGAAAGCACACAGAAACCATCAAACACCAAGACTCAGCCAGACAGATGTGAGAGAAAAGTCCTGCCAGCGGCAAGGAGGCCGTTCAACCTCATGAGGCAGAGAAAGAGGAACTGAATGCATTTGAAATGGGGATCTTTATTAATCTGCCACTAGGTGGACTTTTATGATGACAGGTAAAAGAATAATGACGCATGTCACAATAATTTAGCAGGATTTTTCTTTGTCCCACTTTTGTAAAATTCAAGTTGCTCTAATGGTCCACTTGTCGAGTTGTCAGCTTCTGCAGTGAAACGGTGAGCTCTTTAAGTTATTGTTTTTGTTTTATGGAGAATTACAATGACACTTCCTGTCTACAGTGTAGTGTGTTATCTTTAAACAAGAGGGAACAATAAAGAGCAGCGATGCACCAATCAGTGAGCCAGATTTACCTTGATCAGCTCTGACCGGTGAATTGTGGGTAAATTAGTTTTTCTGTTCATAAAATGTGTTTAATTATCAAGTTACTTATGTTGTGCATTACAATTTCTGTTCGTCAAATTACTAAGGTTTTGTTATATCTAGTTGCTGTTAACCTGGAGAGACTTCTGTCAGGAACATGAGAATAAGATGCTCTACTGAATTCTAGCAAACAGCTACAATGGTACCGACACATTTGCTCAACAAAGAAAAGAGAAGTTGACTGTAAAAAAACAATATCATTTCCTGTCCCTACCCTCCCAAAAAAGACATTTGCAGAATCCTCATTGATTTTATGTTTACCGTTAAGAATGGCTGCTCTGCAGCTGCTGACTAATCATAAAAAAAAAAAAAAAAGTTTTGTTTTTTTTTCTACTAATTTCAACATGTGGGTCTATGTCAGTATTGGTGGGGGGGGCGGGGGGGGGGGGGGCAAACGTCATGGGCAAACAACCCAAACTAATTTGCTGTTAATTCTCTGGACTGTGACCTCTTTCAGTCACACGTGAGCAAAACTGAACTTTGTACCAGTGAGCAGACTGAAGAAAATACAGTCTGTCCTCTGGAGTAGTACCTTCTCACATTCACTTCCTCGGGGTAATAACGAATGTTTGAAAATGTCTGCATTGTGTAAAGCTGGCAACATAGCTGGATCATGCTTCCTTAGTGGTGTGAAGCCACATCATAGCCCAAGCTACTGTATTAACACCTCTGCATCCTGTCATTTTAGCATCCCGCGTCTGGCTGGAGATTTAATTGCTCTGCAGTTCAAATGAACAGAGTTTTACTGCTGCTAACTCAGCTATATTTACTCCAGAACCCTGTGTCTTTGCGTCATGCAGACCCCCCCCTTTACTCTTGCTGAACACTTGAACCACAACGTTGAACTGAGAATAAACTAATCTGTTTTTAGCTGCTTTTCTTGGGAACTTGCGGGAGTATTTTTGCATGGCCACAGGCAATGCACAAGGCAAGTACATGCAAGCTCAGACCTATTATAACATTATTTCCCTCACCTAAATGAAAAATTCTCAGCATTTATGCAAATGAAAAATCCCAGCAAGGTTTTTGACCTCTAAAAATTAACCCTCACCTCTTAATTATACGTTGAACTTGGAGGAATGCAAATTTTGCTTGGTGCAGCCCTTAATCTTGCTTCAATAAGTGCAAGTTTGTGCTTCATCATGTTACAGTAATGAGCACCATCAGCGTCCACCTCTCCTTCTGTCCCATTTAATCTCTACTGAGGAAACGGTCTGCATTACGGCAGCCACTTTATTTCAGGTCCACTCGGCCACTTCTAGCCCACAGAAGCAGGAAACGGGGGTAAAGCAGTTCCACATGGCTGGTGTATTTAGAGCACAGATCCATGTTATGGTAACCTCCTATGGCTCTGGCACCTCGCACCCAAACAGCACGCTTCCTTTCAGGTCAGAGGAAAGGGATTAATGGACGGAGGTTGGAAAGGGGAAAGTGAAATCCTGTCCAAGTTGACAGAACATTCAGGATTCAGAGCTGCAGCGAAGCAGTTCTCCATGTATGGTGAAACAGAAAACGAAGGCTTTGCTAACATGGCTTCAGGTTGTCTGTGCATGCAGATGAGAAAGATCATAAAGGATCTGTGTACAGTATAGTAATTTAAAGATCACCATTAACACTATAAACACCCAGTGCAGGCAGAATGACTGTGCCTGGATGTTTTGTGCACATCATGCAGAGCAGCAGTCTGACTTCTCAATGTGTCTCTTTGTAGCATTCCTTACTGGTTGCTCTGCAGACCACCACCTGCCTTTGTCTGCTGGGACTCAGCTGAAGTCTTAAAACTCAGGGAACAAGGCCAGGAGATGATCACAGTCACTGTCAAACAAGGGTTCAGGTCTGAGATAAAGGTTTAAAAAGGTTTAAAGCAAGATTATAAGAATATTTTCTGGACTTTAACGACTCTTCCATATGTAATTAGGAAATGGAAAGAGTACAGGGAAAACTATTAATGAAATTAATGCACAAATGCATGACTGTCCACTTTAATCATAAGGGGTTAATCAGTGAAGTAGTCAAGAGGCTCATGAAAACTTTGGAGGAGCTGTAGAGATTCAAATGCCATCTTGAAGAACCTGTTGACTAGGAAACTATTAGTAATGCACACTAGAAATATGGCCTCTACAGGAGAGTGGTGAAAAAAGTCAATGTTGAAAGAAAGTTAAGAAAATCCAACATGTTGGGGACACATGCAAACATTGAAATTGGCTGAAAATGGGCCAGAAATCACAGTGTATCGCAGCTTAAACCACAACAAACATCTGTGGTGATATGTAAAAGTCAATGTTAAGGTGTTCTCCTTCTACACACTCTGAGCTTGATCATTTTTCAAAAGAAGAATGTGCAGAAAGTTTAGTTTCTCGATTTCTAGATGTGTAAAGCTGGTAAAGACACAACCCAAACGGTAACTGCAGCAAAATCAGGTTCTACTATTGATGGCGGTGGGGCTAAATGTAATTGCATGCCACACTTTTAAGATTACGTTTTCATAATAATTGAAAAGATGTTTTTCCTTCTATGTCCACTTCACAATTCTTCTCTTTGTCAGTGAGAAGTCATGTTATAGACTTCTATAACATGACAGAACTTGAACAAGTTCAAGTGGTATGAATAAGTATGCAATGCAGTTTATATTATTAACATGGTTTCCAATAATATTTTGTCCAGTGTTCAGCCCATACAGCTGAGATAAGGTTATCTGTTGTTGCTGCCACACAGAGTGTTTGGGCGAGATCTAGAAGAACTGCTCAGTCAGCTGAGCGTTTGCTGCACAGAGCCTGTGGGAAACTTTTCCTACCGAGTGTGTAGACATATCAGCCAGCATGCTTTGGAGATGAATCCACCACAACTGTGGGATGTTTGGCTGAAGGCCCACACTGAGCTGCTGCTGAAGAAACCATGCTTCGGCATTTTTTATAGAAAAATATCCAAAACCTCCAGCACAAACAGACGTTTTTCATCCGCTTTGTGCTTTCTAACTGTGGTTTGGAGTGAGAGAAACTGCAGAGCAGTTCAGCTGCATCCAGCAGAGCATCTGTTTCAGTATATGTGGAAACCTACATTTTTGGATTTAGTGTAGCAGATGGAGAAATCTTTTCGTTCCAAAGGGAGTGTCGACTTCTAGTTTCTGAACTCCGTGAACGCAGCAGTGGGATACAGAGTCATAGCTGTGCAGACTGCTGAAGGAGCATCCTCCCATTTCTGTTGCCTCTTCTTCCAAGAAACACATGTATAACTTGTCAAAATGACCCAGAAAGCTGATCAGTGCTGGAGCAGCCGGTTAGACGAGGAGCAAGAAAACAAGTCCAAGATGTTTATGACATTAGAAAAGGAATGATCATTTTTTGTTGATAAAGACTTTCTGCTCTCCATTGATTTTCTCATTAAGAAGTATTATTTCTTTCTTTTTCCAGTAGGATTAAGGAAAGTGGATGGTCTGGCATTGCAGGAGGGGACCTCTCATTTCCATCTGGTCATTTCCATCTGATCTGCTGGAGAAGTTTTCAAATTTCAGCCATTTCCTGACATAAACAAAAGTGCAGAACATAAAGAAAAGAAAACTTAAACCCAATAATCATAACTGGATATTTCAAAGCATGTTTTAATGAGCTGCTATGTTCTTGTCACCTTATGAGGATCAGAGCACACCTGCCTCATTTGCCATGCCATGTGCTCTTGTCTTTCCTTTTTTGATGTGTGGCTTAAAGACATGGGCCTCTATGTCGATTCAATTTCTTCATGTTATTGTTTGTTTGCAGGAGCAGTTTGCGTCTGTTTAAATAGCCTCTACCTGTAAGAACATGTACAGCATAGTTTCGAAGGACTTGTTGCATTGTTGCCTGAGGAGAAGAAGAAGGTTCATATTCTGATCTGCTGGCTAATGACAGATTTCAGCCAGATGGAAAAAATGTGGGCTGGTTGTTTCTGCAGGTTTTTAAGATGGGGATCATCTGCCCTCCCAGCTTTCAGTGAAACTTTGTAGTTAACGATGATTTGTTTGGCATCTCTACCAGAGATTTAATATTTTATTTGACAGGTTTTTCTCTGTTTGTTTTGTTAAACTCTTGAACATGCTCCAAAAAGAGCTATTTAAGCTTTGCTTGCTTTGCACGTTGGGATATGTGAGTCATTTCAATGAATGATCTGAGCCCAAGCTTGCCACGCTGTCATGTTTTTTTTTTCTTCCTCTTGCTGCAGAGAGGATTCTTTTCCCTGCCGGAGGGGCATTTCTTCATCGAACCTGCCCAGAAATTGCCCAGTGATCCTGCAGGGACTCCAGAACCACACGTTGTCTATCCAAGATCTACTGAGGAAAACCACAGAAGAAAACGTAGCCTGGAGTCCAAACACACTCCCAGCCCCTGCGGAGTTCAAGGTGTGTCCTTTCACACAGTGTCTGAATATACAGCTGTGCGTGTGTGTGAAATTGTAAATGAGTTTTCTTCCTTGTTTTTGTGCTGAGCTTGCACCTGAGTCAACCAAGGATAAGTGTGCTCTTAGCTATGCGTTTCATTATGCGTGCTTTAGATGCGCCAAGTGACTCTCACCAGGTGGAAAAAGAGAGGGAGGAGTGGGAGAGGGAGGAGGCTCAGGCTCAGTCCCGCTCGCGTCGCTCAGTCAGCCGGGAGCGATGGGTGGAGACCATGGTGGTGGCTGACTCCAAACTCATCGAATACCATGGCAGCGACAATGTTGAGTCCTACATTTTCACCATCATGAACATGGTAAAGAACTTTTTTTCCCCTTCAGTTTAAACTGATTATGTGTTTTGCATGTCTGCGCAGGCTGTTTTTCTCTTTTTTTATCATTACGGATCATTTTTATGCTGACAGGTTGCTGGAATATTTCATGATGCCAGTATTGGAAATGCCATCCACGTCATCTTGGTGCGCCTCATTCTGCTTCAAGGAGAAGAGGTACAAATAATCCAAAGTTTTCCAAATACTCAACTATGCTTATGTGACTTTTTGATAAGTGCAAGAGGCCTATATATATATATACATACAGACAACGTATTTATTTTGATTTATTGTGGATGGTGGATTTTCTTTGACATATTTAATAAATAATGATTTTATTAAACTCTGCCTGTGTGAACTGAGCTAAAAAGAGTTTAATATGTGGTGATTTGTTAGTCAAACTCTCGTGTTTGCTGCAGAAAGGATTGAAGATTGCTCACCATGCAGACACAACTCTGTCCAGTTTCTGTGCGTGGCAGAAAAACCTGAATCCACAAAGCGACACTCACCCAGCTCACCACGATCTGGCTGTTCTGATCACAAGGCAAGTGGCAAAAGTCTTTCCTTTAAGTCACATGGGTTCTGTACATGTTCCCTGTGTGAAGTGAGGTGGTATGTGTAATAATTTTTCACACTTGTTTCCCTCTGAAGGAAAGATATTTGTGCAGGAATGAACCAGCCATGTGAGACTCTGGGTCTCTCTCATCTATCTGGGATGTGTCAGCCCCACCGCAGCTGCAACATCAACGAGGATTCAGGACTGCCTGTCGCCTTCACTGTTGCTCATGAAATGGGCCACAGGTAGTGCAATGTTAATACCTGTAAAGTACCAAACAGAGAATCATCACTAGAAAAAAGTACCAATATGTTCTAACAGTATTATTTCACTAGACATGAAGTTATGGATAAACAAGCGTGCTGCTGTACACTGTTTTTTCCAAAGGATGATTCCCAGGTAGAAAGTCAGTTTATTGACAGATAATTGTTAGAATGTACAATATATAAATGGGAAAAAGAGAAAAGGACATCTCTTTAATCAAATTGCTGAAAAATATAACATTTTTGTAGTAGAACAATAATGATAAATTTGAGAAAACAAAGATTACATGTGGAGTTTCTCAAGACAATATTCCCAGGCCAATTTCTTTTTACATCCAAATGATTCTCATAGTGCTCAAAACAAAGCATTACAGTATAAATGTGTCTATAACTAAAAATTAGGGCAGCATTTATAAACAGCTCACTGGACTTGAAACAGTACTTTCCCATTAAAGTAAAAAGTTAATTTCTGTCATATCTTAAAACTCTCTTTGTTTTAAAATTGCATGAACATTTCTTTCTTTGCATTTGTTCCTCTGATCCTTTAAATATATCTCTTGTTTTGAATATAGTTCTCCACTCACTGTTCCTTAGTTTTCTTGTAAATCACTCCAAATGAAAGCTCTGTCCATTATTGGATTTGCCTTACTTTACATAAGCTTCCTGGTGCGCTCTGTAATCAGATCATTGCCAAGTAAGTACGGTAAACAAACAAAGCCTGTGTACAAAAGCCTTTGCAGTCTTTATTTAAGTTGTGTTAATTTGTGATTCATTGCAGCTTTGGGATCCATCATGACGGCCAAGGGAATGACTGTGAGGTGGGAGCAAAACACCCGTTCATCATGTCGAGACAACTGATGTATGACAGTTCGCCTCTGACTTGGTCGTCCTGCTCCAAGGAGTACATCACACGTTTCCTCGAGTAAGGCAGAATCAGAACTTAATTATTCTAAAACCACTCACTATAAAGTGCTGACAAGATTTTATTTATTTTCAGTCAAGCCATAAAAACACAGCTTTATGGCATGTGAGGCAAGAAAGAAGAACAAATCACGAGAGATTAAAACTCTAGAACTTTTTAGAAGAATTGTGCTAAAGATTAATTGGATAATTCTGATTCTTAAATTTTACAATACGTTTTTCCAGATTCAGCAAAGTCGGGTGAGAAAGTTCATGTTCAAAACTGGAAATGACCTTGTCAAATATCCTGGCATTTTCAAGCATTTAGTATTTTAATTATCAATCATATAAAAAAAAAACTGTTCCCTCTGTTTCTAGTTAGCTACATGCTAAGATGGATAGCTAGTGAGTCACACAATTTGACATGTCATCTTAATTCAATTTCTCCGTATAATAAGAAAATTATAGATAAATAAATGCTTTATTTATCTCACAAAACATCAGCACCAAAAAACCAGATAAAAATAAAAACACTGTGTACATGCATCCATTCTGAGATGTTTGTATAAGTGAAGTAGCTTAAAGACAACACAACCTACACACATTCGATGTTCAAAAAGTAGCATTGAAGTCATTCCTCCATTAACTGAGACGCCTCATTCTCAGCAGCAGCCAACGCATCTCTGAGAGTGAAAAGTAGAACTCAACACAAACATTATTTGGTGTTCATGTTTGTATATTTAGAGGTCATTTACTTCTTCTTCCAAGCAAAATAAGTGACCTCATATTCATTGTTATTTGCCTTAGCCGTGGCTGGGGTTTCTGTTTGGATGACCGTCCTTCCAAGAGGGACCTGACTACCCCTCTGGCCCGTCTTGGCGTCCGCTACACTACCCATCATCAGTGCCAGCTCCAGTACGGTCCAAATGCTACTTTCTGTCCAGAGGTGGATGTAAGTCGTGCTCAAATTAAACTATACATTAAATTCTTCAGAAAACAGACATTACTGATTTTAATTTTTGCCTTTTTATTTCAGAATGTTTGCCAGATTCTTTGGTGTTCAGTGAATGGGAGCTGTAGATCCAAATTGGACTCGCCTATAGATGGTACTCGCTGTGGACCAGACAAGGTAAGCGGCGTTATGAGCTCAGCCATGCCAGGGTTTCATTTACAGATGGAGGGGGTAGTTAACCTCGCAAAAACACCTCAAGTGATTTTTAAATGATCTCAGTATTATTTTTTTCTCACTTAGTGGTGCATTTCTGGAGAGTGTGTAATTGTGGGTAAACTGCCAGAGACTGTGAATGGAGGCTGGGGGCTTTGGGACAAATGGTCCTACTGCTCCAGGACTTGTGGAACTGGAGTTCAGTCTGCAGAGAGGGAATGTAACAATCCCAAGTAAGAACTTACTCTGGACATCCTCTTTAATCCTTAGCTATATGGTTGATTCAAAATATTCTGTTGTCCAACAGACCTGAATTTGGAGGAAAGTATTGCACTGGAGAAAGGAAGCGTTACCGGACCTGCAACACCAAACCTTGTCAGAATGAGAAGCCGTCCTTCAGAGAGATGCTGTGCAGTGAGTTTGACACAGTGCCGTATCACAACCAGCTCTACCAGTGGATCCCAGTCGTTAACCCATGTAAGTGATGAAACCCTCTAACAGACTGGGTATTTTTATTTTATTTCTTAACATTTTCTGTTTCATAACATAATTCAACAGTAGATGCAGTTCCTGGAATTAATCAATAGGGGGCAACATTAACCCTTGAAAGTTTTCTGTCATTCGGCATCTGCACTCAAATTCTGTTGGGTTTTTATGGCAGTTTGTCGATACGAAATGGTTGTCATAGTTGTTGTCAATTTACACATAACAAATTCAATTTTAGCGGTATCATCAGGTGAGTTTCTCGTGTCAGCTGTTTAATAAGAGATAGAAAATAAAGCTGGATTACCTCAATTTCAAGTAATTATGTTCTCAGCATCTCTTTGCAATTAAATCTCACTTGTTTACTGTTTTGAGGTTTGAAGACCAGAAAAAACAAAATGAGTAAACTTAATCTCTACATAAATTTACAGTTATGTCCAGCTTCGGTCCTTGAGGGTCAGTGTCCTGTCAGTTTTAGATGCGTTTCCTCCAACACTTCTGGAGAGGCCTGTTAACAAATCATCATTTAATTCAGATGTGTTGAACCAAAGAGGGAACTCAAACAGGCAGGATTTCGGTCCCTGAAGACTTTGGACATCACTGTATTAATCTATTGGACAATTAGATCATTTTATGTCATCCCTTGTGCCTTGGAGTGCAATTTTAAAGTTTATCTATATACATATAGCAATATGTATGGCATAAAATTATAGTGATTAAAAACGGTAGCAATAAATGGTTATAAGTAAAAGTAATGAGTAAAAAAGTCAATAAATAAATAAACCTGATTCTTTTTCTTTTATGCTCATCCTCAGTAAATCCCTGCGAACTTCACTGCCGACCAGTTAGTGACTACTTTTCGGAGAAGATGCTTGACGCGGTGACCGACGGGACGCCGTGCTTCATGAACAACAAGTCCAGAAACATCTGTGTTAACGGAGTGTGCAAGGTAGTGTGCCTGGGTAAGAGACCTGTAGGGACTGGGAGGGTTATAGTGGAGCGGGATGATGACACACCGCAGAGCAACTACATACTGACAGAGGGAGAAGATCCTCTGTGGAAACTTCCACTGTGCTGTGATTTGTGTGTTTGTGTGTAGGAGGTCGGCTGTGACTTTGGTATCGACTCAAACGCGGTGGAGGACCGCTGTGGGGTCTGTCTGGGCGACGGCACAAGCTGTGAGATGGTTTATAAGACATATGATGAACAAGAAGGTTTTGGTGAGTGAAACCACAATCGCAGTGCTTTGCAAAATTATTCATGCCCCTTGAACATTTTTGTATTAGGATTTAAAAAGAAAATCAAGACAAAGACATCAACTGTCTCCAGTCATCTCCTAAATCATTTTCAGTATGGATGCAGCTGTCAGAGAATATTAGTGGACAAATCATCATGAAGACCAAAGAACACAGCAGATAGATCATGTAGAAAGTTGTGGAGCAACACCTCAAGTTTATGGTGGTCAGAGGGCCAGGAGGTGCTGAATCCATGGGTGAATGACTGAGCCAAAAGGCTTTGGAGTCCTCTGACTTAATCAAACGCTACACAAATGTAGACTATTTACCTACATACCAGTCGCTTCGGTAAAACATTGGGGTAGCAGCATCATGCTGTGAGAATTCATGTCTTCAGCTATTACAATTTCTGCAAAAGACTTGAGAGTAGGTGAATGTTCACATTTCAGCAGGACTAGCAGCCTGAGCTACTAATCTGACTGAGCTTGTAGAGACAGACGGCCCAGCATAGTCAGACAATGCCTGTATGATTATAAAATTATTAACGCAAAGCAGACAGACTGCTAACGAGAAAAAGCTTTGAAGGACCTACTAAGATGAGTGTGAAAAAGCGCAGAATTTAAATGTATGTCTGCAGGCACAGAAGTCATTTCAGGGCAGTGCATCAACATTGTACAGTTGTTGTTTATTGCCATGGCAGCAACCTCGTCCACACGTTGCAGCTGTTTGTCCTGTTGTGCTGAGATTTAAGTGTGCATGCATGCAGGCCCGTGTTTGTCTGAAGATACACATCTTTGTCTGGTTTTACTGCACTTGGACAAGTATAACTCACCCGCTAAATCAACATACCGTGAAGACAGATTCATAGTGAAAGAGGCCCTAAAACAATAAAAACTCCCCTCCTTCCCGCCTTTCTCCCTGCAATCTCTCTTTCTTTCTGTGTGTGTGTTTGCTGCACGTTGCATCCCTTCCAGATAACCGGCCCAGATGTGTGAGACTTCAAAAGGCTCACACCGAGGGCAAGCATCCCCCCACCTCCTTTCACAAACACACACATGCACACACACACACACACACACCTTCCCACAAACATCATTAAACTGCACAGACCCGCTCATTGCTGCTTTCGTCCTCCCCCAAACCACCCACCTCCCATCCCCATGCAATAAAAAACAGAGACAGAGCAGTGCACCCCCACCTCCAGCCCACCCCCTCCGTGCCGAATAAGCACACATTCAGTCACACATGCAAGGCATCCATGCACACCGAGCCCACCCGGGTTAAACATCAGAGAGAAGGTGTCTGAAAGTCTGGGTGTGAGCGTGGCAGCTGCCATGGTGGGCCATCCCATTACCTCAGTGCGACTCTGATTCCCCTCCCGACTCTCCCAGGGTACGTGGACGTGGGGGTGATACCAGAGGGCGCCCGGGACATTCTGGTGAGGGAAGCCCAGGAGGCAGGTAACTTCCTGGCCCTCAGAAGTGTGGGGTCAGACGAGTACTTCCTCAACGGGAACTTCATCATCCAGTGGAACGGCGAGTACGAGGCAGGTGGGACGACGTTCTACTATGAGCGCAGTGGAGACATGGAGAACCTCACTGCACCTGGACCTACCAAGCAGCCAGTCTTGCTCCAGGTAGGTTGTCCCGTTCATAGGAGTGGATGAAAGCAGCTGTTTTTTTTTCAGATGTTCAGAAGGTTTAGTATAATCAGCGTTGTGCCACTTCACTCCTAAAAGAGTCCTGTTCGTAGAGGTTAAACTGAATTAATCTGTGTCCGTAGTTCACCTTCTAATCAAACTGAATTGAGTCCCACCACAAAATAGTCCTTGGTCATTCATTTTTCTTAAATAAAGAAACTCACAATCAGTGCTGTGGGAAAAAAACCCCAAACATTTAGCCCCTTTACAGATTTCTTCTGTTTATTTGTTTTTTTGTATCAGTCTAGATCATGCCAATTTTAATTTAAGATAAATATAACCATATTAAATGCAAAATGACAAGTAATTACTCCCTAATTATTATAATTGACTGTAACACACTCACTTACCAGGTTTGCAACACATGGCAGTAAGTTTTTAACAAGGATTTGGATTAAGTTTGTTCAATTGTTCTTTAAATTAAAGAGAGGCTGATTTTTGAGCATGAATGGCCTGTTCAGGGCCAAAATGAATCAATCAGATTTAATCCTGGGCTTTGACTAGGCCACTACACAATCCTTTTTTTTTGTCTTTGAGAGATGAACTTGCTGTTCTGCTCTAGGTGATTGTTCTGGTTAATGATCCAACTGGGTTGCAAAGTGATAGCAATACCCCTTTTCAGGTTTTTCTGATGAAAAGTCGTCAGGGTCCTGACGCAGCCCACACCATCATACCCCCACCACCATGTTTTTCTGTTAGTTTGATTAATTTTTTCTGAAATGACACATGCCACAGATGTAAAACAGTCGTATGCCCCGTCGGTTCACAGAATATTTTCACAAAGGTCTTGTTGGTCATCGTCTGTGTTGTTGTGTTTTATTGATTAGTTTTATCTTCTCTCAATCGATGCCAGTTTCGGTTGTTACTCATTGCATGAACAGTGACCTTACCCGAAACAAACATTGTGCTTTAGATGTTGTTCTTGATTCCCGTGTGACCACCTGAATGAGTCATTGGTGACATTTTGGTGTTCCATATTCGTTTTTCTCATTTGTGGATAAAAGCTCTCACTGTGATTTTCCTGGAGCCCCAAAGCCATAAAAATGGCATTTGTAACACTTTCCAGATTGATAAATTTCAGTGACTTCTTTTCTCATCTGCTCTTCAGTGAGGTTGTCGTATTATTCCCATTCATTTGAATATTTGAAACACATGAGTGTGACAAAAAAGTAAAAACAGAAATCTATAAGGGTCCAAATTAAAGCTCTAGTGAAAAACCAGATAGAGAAGAATGTGGATTATTTGATTACATTATGTTTTTTTGTTGTTTTTTTTTATAGTTGTTGTTTCAGGAGAAGAATCCAGGTATTAAGTTAGAATACACCATCAAGAAGACAAAATTTATAGAAAATGAGGTCACTGAACCCACTTACAGCTGGAGACACGGAGCCTGGACCGACTGCAGCACCACCTGTGGCCTAGGTTTGGCTTATTTCGAAACATCTTGCTTTTGTTTTGCCAATAAAATATACTAAATTAGAACTGTTTTTGTCCTTAGGAGAGCAACACCAGCCAGTGCTGTGTTTTGAAACAGATGTGGGCGTCATGGACGAGTCTCTGTGCGACCCAGACAGCCGTCCAGAGGACCGACACCGCAAATGTAAAAATATGGAATGCCCTGCACGGTGTGTACTCTCTGACATCCTCACACTGTATTGCAGATTTTCTGCAGCCAAAATCAGCCATTTTTATTGCATAGCTATGATTTCAACTTTTACCTGTGAATAGCAACCATAACGGTTTCACAGCTCAAAGGTCTATATTTATATAAACTTTTATATTTTCTGTAGTTTAGGACATACAATACTATTTTTTTTGGGTACTGTAATAAATATGTCCAAAAAAAAAAGATAGCTACTTTGTACAATTTCTCTCTTTTTTTTAAGCTAATTACAGCAATTACTTAGGAACACAAATTATTTTTTCATTTAAAATTTCAGATTCTTTAATGAGGCAACAAACTAAAAGTTAAAATCTTTTTATAAAGTATTGTAATGTTCTCAATACAAACACTTGTACCTGCTCATTTTCTAAAAAAGGTTTGAGCTCCATATGATTGATAAGAATATTTTTGCTTACTTTGTTATTCTGTCCTCTGGCTCTTAGGTGGTGGGTTGGTGGTTGGCAGCATTGTACAGAAACCTGTGGATCAACAGGATTGAGGAAGAGAACCGTTCTTTGTGTCCGCACTGTTTCAGGGGAGGAGAGAGTACTCCACCCTCTGGAATGCAAGCATCTGCTTAAACCCAAACCTGTGGTGCCGTGCAACAGAGATGTGCCATGTGGGCAGGAATGGGCTGTTGGCAACTGGGAGGAAGTAAGCCTTTTTTAAGGGTAGCTTGTTTCTTAACCTCAGTTTTACCAATGAAATACTTTTATTGCAAGTATCTCCACCAGCTTGATATTGTTTTTGTTGTGCTTTTAGTGCCCCGTCACATGTGGAGGGGGAGTTCGCTCACGCACAGTGTCGTGCACATTGGCGCCAAAGAAGATCTGTGACCTCTCGACCAAACCCAGGTCCAAATCACTGTGTGCTTTGCAGAGCTGCCCAAACTCAAGTCTTCACAGACGACCTGGGCTTCCCCCTGTGTATCGCCGCATTTACCCAAATAAAACTCCCCCTACTAAACATCCTGGCTCGACATCATTAGCACCTATAAGCTCCACAGCTGCGCCTACAACAACCACCAAAGAAACTACAACTGCCACCACAAAATCCACTATAAGCCCTCAAGTTGCATTTACTGAAATTATAGTCTCAGAGGATCATGACTTTGGTGTTCGGATGAGGAAAATGAAAAATGCAAAGAGGAAAGTTTATTCTAACAAATCAAGTTCCGCTAATAAAGAAAAGAAAACAAGTGTTGGAGAGGAGGAAAATGTAGACGCAGAGGAGGGAAGCGCTGAGGATGGGGTCCTGTACTCCCCAGGATATGATTACATCGTTGAGGACAAGACGAAACAAGAAGAGAAGATTATTGACCTGGACTTTTTCACCACAGAAACGTCTGTAACGACTCGTCTTCAGACAACCACACCAAAACCACAAGCACGTCCTCTTACCAAGCATATAACTAGAATGCCACCCACAACTGCTTTGCCATGCTCTCTTACCAGTACTGACACATGTTCAAGGACAACCCACCACTTACCCAACATCAACACCACCTCAAATGTTAAACCATACCGCCCATGGACACAACGTGCTCCTCTAACCACTCCCATGCATAAGTTTGGCCCGGGCCTTTCAAAAACTATCTTCAAAACGAAACAAGTTCCTGCAACATCTATAAGAAAACCATCCACCACTGCAGCGCCACCTCATGTGACATTTATGAACCTGAAGAGCTCCCCTGCAACAACCAAGAAAACCACTCAAACTGCTCGTGCTAAAAAACCACCCAGGTCCAAAGGAAGCCACTTCAAGAGCCAAAACCAGCAACCAAGAAGTCCGCAGAGCAGTTCCACGAGTGACCAAAGAAACCTGATGGCCAGAGAACCAGTTAACATGGATGTATTTTGGGTTGTAGGAAACTGGAGTGAGGTGTGTAAAGATATATTTTGAACTTTTTGTCTTAGTCTGCAAAACATCGTTCCAGTAAACATTTACATTAACAATGTTTCCATGATGCTCCCCTGAACATTTATCCACTGAAACTTAATTACCCTGCACCCTCAAGATTGATTCTTCTCACTCTGTTGTTGCAGATGAACTAAAGCAGATTTAAAATCCACACAGTTTAATTAACAGAAAGTATTAAACTGTAGAAAAATTTAAACTGGGATGAAAAATAGTGACGCATAAAATACTGCTAAGAAAATTAAACCAATCCACAATGCTTAGTATCTTTCCTTCCTTCATGTTGAATGTTCAGGGTAATATGAAAAGTACTATTTCCCCAGCAGAAATATTTTCAGGCATACATTTCTACTTTGTTAATGTTTTTATCCTGGTAGATTCACCTAAATGCCACCAAAAATCTACAACAGTTCTTGGAAATGTTGCTAAAGTGGAATTGGAAGAACTTTCCAGAGTAAAGATTCTACAAAATAATATATAAAAAAGATATTAAAGCAGATCAAATAAAATAGCTTTCAGTGCACTGGTTTGTGGACCAAACCAACATATAATGACACATTCATGTTTATTCCATTAAATAATAATAGACTAAAAAGAAGAATGTCCAAAGATCTAATATGATCCCTTAAAATGTATTATTGATGTTTTTATGTCCACAGAAACACTGACATTAAGTATAATGCTTTAATGTTGTGCTAAGCATAAACATATTATTTTTTTAAAGACGATCCTCATTTCTGTCCAGTGCTCAACGACATGTGGGATTGGAGCTCTATGGAGAACCGTGGTGTGCAGTTCAGAGGATGATGAGGACTGTGCCAACATGAAGAGACCTGAGCCTGCACGAACATGTCATCTGCAACCATGCGCTGCCTGGAAAACTGGCAGCTGGAGCAAGGTCAGCAACTTTAGATGTCAGGAAACTGATAGTCACACAGTTTACTTGTTAATTACAATTAATACTAGAATACATTAATCATTAATTATTCTCTGTCACTGAAGAAATACAAAAAAATAAAAAACTCTTGTCTCTGTTTTAACTCGCATAGTTTTGTTCGGCGCATGTTGTGTTGTAATTCTCTCCACAGTGTCCAGAAAGCTGTGGGTCTGTGAGAAGGAGGCACCGTGACGTTCAGTGTGTTGATTCTCAGAGTAAACGTCCACTCAGACCTTTCCACTGTCAGACTGTGTCCAGCAGACCCCTAAGCACCCTGGGTTGCCCCCAAAAGCCCTGTATGAACTGGACCGTGTCACCTTGGGGACAGGTAGGACAATCATACATTCAATTTACATGTTATTAAACATAGCAGGGCATATCTAGGCACATTATCTATGCTGCCTATGCTTCTAGACATTGCATTTTTATGACTATCTGAAATATATTTTTTATCCTTAATTAACTCTTAGGTAAGAGTTTCGTCAGTTTGAAACCCATAGGAAATCCTATTGGCTCCCCTTGAAAACACTTTCCCCATGGTGAAACATGGTGCAGCAACAAGCTGAGGAGATAATTTTCTTCAGCAGGGACAGAGAAGCTGGTCAAATAAACAGGACAACCAAAGAAAACCTGCTAAGAGACTCCAAAACACTTAAAATTGTGGCTGAGGTCCACAATTCAGCACTACAACAGACCCAAACATACAGCCAGAGCTACAACACAATGGTTTAGATCAAACCATTGTGTTGTATTACTGTCAACAATTTTGCAATGCTCTCTGTGTGAGCAAGGGGGCTGTTTGGAGAAATGATCTAAAAATAAAGCAGTAATGCTTGTTGTCCCCAGTGCTCTGGCAGCTGTGGTGAAGGCATCAGGGAGCGACTGGTGTACTGCCCCGAACCTCATCGCTGCAGCACCACGTCCAGGCCAAACGGCACTGAACTGTGCAGTCTAAAGCCTTGCACGCACTGGAAAACCGAAGGCTGGGGGGAGGTCAGTCTCACTCTGCTGACCCACAATTAATGTTTTAGATGTTTGATTTTTTTTTTTTTTCTAACTTAGTACTCTTATTTCTAGTGCTCTGTGAGCTGTGGAGAGGGTCAGCAGCAGCGCGCAGTCAACTGCGTGAGCGATCAGGATTCGGCCGTTTTGCCAAACCGCTTTTGTGAGACGATTTCTAAACCAGAAACACTCAGGAAATGCAACATGCATGAATGCAAGAAAAACTCAGGTTTGTATGTGTGAGCGTGTTCCTGTGCTCCTCTGGCGGTGAAAGAGGTTGATCGGAAAAGCAGATTGCGTTCCCACACGCATTGTGCATGCACACATTCGCACCTCAATTTCACATTGTGAAGGTAACAATTCTCCAAAGCCGACGTTTAGTGCTGATCAAATTTTAGTGGCATGCTTTGTTTTATACTTTTGGTCTAACCACAGCTAATCAGTGCCAAGGAAATTAAAAGACACGTCTATATTGACTGCTGTGCAAATGGTACTGTGCAAGTAGAATTGAAGCTACTGTAGGTATTGTGCTTTACAAAAATCAGCAAATAGGCAGGGCATCACGGTACACCTTCAGAGAAGACCAGGATACACAAGGTTCTGAATGAAAGATGGTCTGATCAACTTCTAGCTTACTAATCTTTGTTTATCATTAGAGATTCACTGAGAAATCAGCTGATAACCAGACCTGGCCGATTTTAGCTTCATCAGGCTGCGACCTGTCGGCCCGATTGTGTAGTTACATTCCTTTCCATACGTCAGGGCAAATGTGTTCATGTATTGGACTTCAGGTTTTGTTTTGGTTTCTGTCTGTTCAGTTTGCAGAAAAAACACCATGTCTTCCCGCTTCTGTGACAAGCTGAAGCTGTTGGGTCGCTGTGTGCTTCGGTCGGTCCAAAGACAGTGTTGCTTCACCTGCAGGGCGCTACCAAGACTGGACTCATAATGACTGCAACGCGACCTGCCGTCTGTTCATGAAATGCTGGTACAAAATCCACCGACTGAGAAACCACGGTGCTAACGGCAACTTCAGCAAGCCAAACTGACTGCCTCAGTGGTCACTGCATTTCTTTTGTTGTTGTTGTTTTTTCTACCATGTTCAGTTTTTCTTAATTTACTGTAGTAAAATTTTGGATCAAAACCAGGTAATGCAAAAAGCCAAAGTGCTTGGGGAAAGACCAGAGGAAAAAGAGATTATGCAAAGGCATGGGCTGGTATAACGATCCCACAAAATGAACTCCACAAGTTCATGTTTGCACAAAAATCAAAAGGTAGGACATGATTTAGGTTTGTTCATTTCTTCCTCAAAGAATAGAAAATAAGCCGATTTTGGCTGGTTCAGGCATCTGAACCTGCAGTCAGAGATGCTGCTCAGAGCTAGCCAACGGTAGCTTTAGAACAGCATTACTTAAAAGTAACATACGGCCACCTGCGCTGTTTCCAGGCCAGCAGCAGCTCTACTCTGAACCCATCTTGGCTGACTGAACCCAGACACCCTCGTTTTGGCTGTTTGTATCGGTGTTCTCGTTCTTTCGCTACCCAGAGCTTCTGACCACAGATCAGGGTAGGAATGACCATCTGCTGGTAAGTTGAGGCTCAGCTCTCTTTTCACCAGGACCGACCAGTAAAGGACTTGCATCAATGAAGACGCGGCACTAATCCTGTCGTGAAAAGCTTTTCACAACAGCATAAATTTCCCAGCTGTCAAATCCTTTCTTGTTTGTACAGAAAAGTGTTCCAGCTTTCTTTTGGTTAGCTGAGTAGTTGTGTGTAAAAACAACTGGGTTTCTTTATGCAGCCAGAAAAAAATGTTGGCAACTCTAGCACTTCCTCTGGCCAATAAAATGGTCCTAAGTGACAACATTTGAAGTATTATAAACAGTAACTTTTTATAATCTTGGAATGCCTCAATACAGACAGCCGGCCCATGCCTCGTTATGTGTTAACATGCATTTCTGGGTCAAAGGTGCTTTACAGCTTAATAAAGGTGCTTTTAAAATTAGGCTGCTGATGATTCACAGCTAATTCCTAATGTTTTTTTTTTTTTTTTTTTTTTATGAACTGGTAAAAACAGAATGTACATTAAGATTTTCTGTCATTCCAACATTGTTTGGATGGACAACGTCAACATTTTTTAACACTCTGATTTTTTTGTTGAATTATGTTTTGTTTTTCTCAGAGCCAGCACTGATTGTATGTTTATGTAAAGCTTTTTATGGGCCATTTTCTTTTTTGGTAACACTTTATATGAAGGGGTTGAATAAGACTGACATGACACTTTCATAAACATGTCATAACACCTGTCATGAACATGAATAAGTCTTCATGAATATTTATGACTGTTGTCATAAAGCGTCATTCGGTAAATTATGACACTTTTAATACAAAGTTGACATTCAAAATGTCTTTGTTATGACAACTTGACATTAACCAAGAAATCATTACTGTTTAAACTTTACCTTTAATAACATAGTTACCTAATTTTTAAAGTGCAATCAGTAATACTTTTATAACAAATTTATATCAGTAATGATTTCTTGGTTAATGTCAAGTTGTCATAACAAAGACATTTTGAATAATGTCAACTTTGTATTAAAAGTGTCATAATTTACCGAATGACGCTTTATGACAACAGTCATAAATATTCATGAAGGCTCATTCATGTTCATGACAGGTGTTATGACATGTTTATGACAGTGTCATGTCAGTCTTATTCAACCCCCTTCAAATAAAGTGTTACCTCTTTTTTTCATAAATTCATAAATTAGCTGCAGAATGCAACAATCTCCTCTGACTTGTTGCACCCTTTTAAAACTAAGACAGAGGTGTTGCAGGTCATCCCTCTCAGGTCCTTCGTAAGACGGCACTTGTGATTATGTGAAATTGTTTACCAAGTTGTACATCTTCACTTCCTTTCCTTGGCTGCTCTTTGTTTCTTTCACTTCAAATTGTGAGTGAAAGAGGCTTGGACAAACATGAGGCAAGATGAAAAAAAGCATCATTGTTCACAGGGTATGCCGTCTTCACTCGTACACTTCTTTCCCAAAGTTGTTCTCTTATCCTCCTTCACACATATAAACTTGAGTGACAGACCCACTCCGAATCCAAAAGGTTTAAAATGATGTCGGCTACAACAACTTTAATTCTGAAAAGGCTTTCCACAAGGTCTAGGAGTGTTCACAGAGCACATATTTTTGGTCAGGCACTTTCGTAACCCATTGTAACAAGTCACAGTGGTCTGCACCATGGTACTGACTTGATCTGTTGGGTTAAGATCAGTTCCATGTGCATGTTCCACACTAAGCTGAATCATCTCTGTCTTTACAGAGTTTGCTTTGTCACGTTGGAACAGAAAGGACCCATTCCTAGAAAGTCCAGAGCAATGCCCAAAAATGCCTTTGTATGTTGAAGCATTAAGAGTTCCTTTCTTTGGAGCTAAGAGCTCAAACCTCAATTCTGGAAAAAAAAAAAAAAAAAAAAAAAAAAAATCCACTGAGTCACACTTTGCAAAATACACTCAAGCAAATTCCATTTGTTGGATTGCTCAACAAAGAGGCACAGTTTGTCACTTCAAAGAATTATTTATTTATTCTTTTACTGCTTTACACCTCTGCATCTGGCACTGTACTTTGCATTTGGTGATGTAACACTTGGCTGCAGCTGCTCGCCCATGGAAACCCGTTCCATGAAGCTAATCTGAAGGCTTCATGGTCTCTGGAGGACTGCAGCTGCAGACTGCTCCAAGTTGGTAACCTCTGCAAACTCTGCAAATCATCATCCACTGACCCCACTCTGACTTTTTTTTTGTGTGTGACTTGCCACTTTGTAGCTGAGTTGCTGTCATTCCCAATTTGTGAACATACCATTAACAGTTGATGTAGTGAATTTATGGGAGGAAACACAGGTGCAATCCTGTTGAGATTCTGTGAATGAATTCACTGAACTTCTTAGAGCGATCCATTTCACAAATATCTGTAGACTACATGCCAAGGTGCTGGATTTTATTCACCTGGAACACTAAACTTAATGATTTGGGAATGGAGTGTATGTGTTTTGCATGTCTTCATTGATAACTGTGATGAAAAGGAGGTCTGACATAACACTTTTTGTAAATGAAATACATGAAATAAACTTTTTTTTAAAGAATTTTATTAGTTGTGTTCTCCTTTTACTGATTTCATTTTTTTTTCATCCAAATATGTTTTACACAATATGCTGCTTATATTTTGACCACAAATCTGCCTTATTATTTTCATGGTAGCCATTTGCTTTGTGATTTGTATTTGCGTTAATTTATTTGTTTTGCATCTTTAAAGTCACTGTTGCCTCAGAGTGCCGGCATCCTGCTGATGCATGTGTAACACCTGAATCAGCAGCTCTGTTTCAGGGATCGTGTTCGGCCGGCCCAGATTTTCCCGGGCTCGTCTGTGCCAGATAACTTGACACGAAAGAACCTTGCCCTGCTCCGTGCTCCGTGCTGCTGTCATTCAAGCCAGAGACCAAGAGTTAGTCAGCACTAATGGAAGGAGTAACACGACACTGGGTCAAAGGGGAACGTCTTGTCTTAAAAGCCTATGGTGTGTGTGCAGGATGTGTCTGCATGTTGTCATGATGAAGCAAACGCCACCCAGCTGCATGACCCATGCCTTTAATTGCGTTTCATTAGCCAAGTACTCTGAATGACAAATAAAAATTGCTCTTTTCACGCAAACAATTTCATTTGACTTGAAAAGCCATATTTGAGCGGTTTTATGAACAACTGTGAGCTTGTTCTCTACAAAGCCCCGAATGGTCATTAAATTACTCTTAAAAGCTGGGGCAGCACAACTTCAGCACTCTGAAGCCACGTTGTTTTTTTTTTTTATTATGCCACACAAATGTGTATTTTATTAGTTGTAGATTTTCCTAAAGCATCTCCTGTATACTTCCCCTTTAAAGCTTTGAACAATGAATAGTAATGCAGAGTACTTATCGATGCAATTAGCATTAAACTTAGGTTGCAGTAAAGGGTGACAAATGTTGCAATCTTGCCTTTTCTCTCTGGTATTGATTTCCAATTGTCTTTAAAACCTGACTTGATCGATTTTATTTGTTTTGTTTTCTCAGGTCTCTGACCAGTAAAAGAAAAACGATGCATGTTGACCGATGCAGGCTGTATTTTCGCATCTAACAGAAGAATGAAGGAATATCTAGATATTTTCCATTCATGCATTGAAGCAGATGTTCCTATGAAAATGTAGGTTCTACTCAGTCCTCATTGGGAGGATTGAATATAATGATCAGCCTTCCACCAGCAGAGAGCTATCTGTGTAATGGAAGAAGGCAACTATGAGTGTTTCTCCACCGACAGTTGAGCAGAGACTTTGGGATGGTGGCCTGGCATAACCTAGAGCAGCAAAGACACCACTTCTCCCCAAGATTAACATCAAAGACGGATGGATATTTTTTTATTAAATACCAGGATTAGACCACAGAGTGCTGGGCTAACATTATTTTCTCCATTGAATCCTCCTTCCGTCTGTTTTGGCCATCTGGCAAAAGGAATGTCCGGATAAAGAGATGCTAAGTGCTACCACCAGTCATATGTCATGCCAAACTCGAAGGATCCTGGATCCATCCTGCAACCTCCACCAGCAACTTTGCCCAAAAATCCTTCAGTAATTTGGTGGCTTCCCAAGCATTGTGGAGCACTTCGTCACAAAACGTCATGAGTACGTGGCTCAGGTATCAACACAGTGAAACTTTACATCCATTGCCATAAAATTGACCACATCTTCACCCCAACAAGATTTTGTGGTCTGTTGTGTCCAACTACAAACAATGATACAGTAAGAATGAGTGACCAGTCAGAAGTTGGCCCTGAAGCTAATGTCCAAAGCATCAGAGCAAACTGCAGATGCTTTGAAGAAGCCGTACCAAAAATGTAAATATTTTTGCAACGAAAACTTGATGCATTTCTCAAGTAAAAGCTTTAAAAATAATTAGTAAATATTTTTAGGTCACTAAGTATTGATTTATATTGAAGCAAAATTTTGAGAAATTAAAATTTTGACTTGCACTTTTAGAAGTATCACAAAACAATGTGTTTATTTTTTTCATATTTAAATACATATAGATTGTTCAGTATACAATTATTAACATTATTTATACCATTATAGTGATAATTCATTTTTCTTGGCAGGTTGCTTCCCATCTACGTTTGGTTAATCCAGAGGGGTTAAAAATATAACAATCAGTTTTGTTTTGTTTTGTTTTTCCACAATTTGTAAACCAAACGGTTTGGTTACAAACAGTGCAGGGTTTCTATCAGTGCTCACTGAATAAGAAACAAGTTTGGTCACAAAATATTTTTGCACATTCACCTCATATTGTACTGAGCACCACTGTTGATCCAGTGTTTGATCTGTAAGTAAATTCCTGTGTTCCTGAAACTGAGACTCTGCAGAGAGGGATGATGTAAGCGCCTTTTCAGGATGGGGAAGATAACATGACTAAGAGTCGACTGATCACCACAAAGCAGGATGCAGCAACCTCATCTTTTAGGTTACCAGACACTAACGATGCAACAGCCAAGAACACATTAAATATTTAGATTAGATGACCAGGAGGAAAACAAGGCTGCCAGTGTTAGCTAGATGTATGTTTGCAAGTTGCTACATTAGCGCATGTTGCAACAGTTTTTGTAGTTATCCATGAACATTTTAAAGATTATTAAATTTATTTGGCTTTACCTTGGAGATCCCAGTATTGACGCAGACTGGGATGTCATCCATGCACCAGTTAGCTGTACTTTGGAGCAACAAGGCTGGTCTGGTGGCTCTCATCTGGACTCCATCAGGTTTTGTGTCCTGAGGCGGGCAGACTGGCATCCCTGTACCAGGGCTGTTTTGTTATTAAACCCTGCTCTGACCCAGTACACACACGGGCCCCAGGGAACTCACAAAGACACACACATGGTTCCCATAGGTCAGCTTGGTTGTTTGTCGGGTTTTGCGTTTGATTCCCTCATAGACCACATATGGATTTGAGCTTAAGTATCCCAGAGTGAGGTGCTTTCCTCTGTGCATAACATCTGCCTAATGATAGTGTACCAAAGGAGAGAGGCCAATATTCTCGGAACGACGCCAAGTAAAATCAGAGACACATGACAAAGCTAAGTAAGGTGAATCTGCACAGTTTAAATTGCTAGCATGATGTGGCACATTATGCAGAATGAACAGTCGATTTTTTTCTGAAACTAAACTGTTTTAATTAAAAAAAATCTGACACAACAATCGCTATAGATGCAAAATGTTAAACATATACAGGCTCTATCTTTCTGTTCATCCGTCCACCTGCCTACCTGTTTGTCCGTCTGCCCGTCACTAAAACTGAACATGTGAGCTACAGTACTCATCTTCCAGGAATCAGTCAAATTATGTCATGCCATCTGGCAATTTTCCAAATCTTCAGTGTATTTCATTTGTATGTTGTGTGACAGATGTTATAGTCCATAATTGTTCTGCAAAATCAATTTGATACACGGACTTTAATATGAAGCATTGAACATTTCGTCACTGTTCCAACACTCTTTTGCAGGCTTTCTTCCAGGCTTGCTTAGTGTTTACCTCCATCGGTCTGCCCACCATGTTTTACTGAACTGTGTGTTCAGAGTGATATGCAGTGTTAGGTTTCCATATCATTTTGCATGTTGCCTCAAAGTCACATTTTGGTCTGATTTGACCAGAGCTCTTTCGTCCACATGTTTGATGATTCCCTCCATGGCTTTGGGGCAAACTGCAAATGTTGCTTCTAATGACTTTCTTTTTTTTTTTTTTTACAACAATGGATCCCTTGTTGCCACTCATTCATTAAGGCCAGATTTGTGGCGTGCATGACTAAAAGCTATGGGTCTCTGCAGTTCATCTGGAATTACAAGGGGCAACTTGACTGTTTCTCTGCCCACCTTGCTCAGCATGTCGCTTTAGGTGAATAGCCAAGTGATGGTAATATTTCAGATAGATCACTCTTAGAGTTTTCAGATGATGCATTAAATAGTTCTCAGACATTTTCACCAAATTTTAATGTTTTATAACCTAACCTGGCTTTAGCTTTGACTTCATTTTGAAATGTTGAGTCTGAAGACAGATGCACTCCTCATGATTTTCATTACTAAAAGCTGTTCAAAACACACTCTTTTCTTGTCAAAATGATGTGGTTCTTTTGGATTAAATCAAACATAATTTCCAAAAGTACCATTTTACATTGCAGCAGAAACACAACAAAATATGCAATGCTTTCAACATAGTCTTGTTTATTTACTAGCAATGCTGCCTCTATTTTTATAGTGGTCTGTACATTACTTAATTATATCACTGAAATATTTTTCAGTGACATACTTATCACTGAAATTATATTGTTTGTTGTCAATTAAACAACAAACAAACAAAAGATGCTATGGTGGTCAGTTTTACATTTTTAGTTCAGTAGGTGGCATTTTCACAGTAAAAATCTAATTTATCCTCAATTTACCCTTATTTTCAGGGGTTTAAGTGTTTTTGCTACCTGGACAGACCATTTGGTGTCTCACATACAGTCTGGTCACCAGATGATCATTTGGATAGGTAACAAATATTTTAATGTGGCCTAATGAGAAAGAGATAGTGTTTCAAGAAAATTAAGGAGATAGAAATAAAAACAGTTTTCCTTTATGTTTTTTTTTTATTTTTTCAGCTGCAACTGTGGAAATTTCCAGTATTTCACAGCCATGTTTTTGTGACCATGTTTTTTGTTTTTTGGAATTGTGCGAGATTGTTGCCAGAGCAGCGGCCTGCGGGGAAGGATCAGGGGTATATTTGTTTTGCTCTCTTGTTTCTTGTCCTGAACTTTGGAACGCAATTCCGAGGGATAGATGTATAAAGATACGCTAAATGCTAAAGCTGTGAGCGAGGACGGAGATGAGTTCAGAACCAGCTTCTGCAAATCTCACTTATATTGCATTTGGAAAAAGAAGAAGACGATAGGCGTGTTCAGGTTTGCAAAGAATTTGCTCCTTGGCCTCTGAAGAAGTCCTGCAAATCTTGTGTGTCTGTCAGCATCATTTCAAGCCTCCAATCCTCTGAGGACCTCACTGCAGAACTTAAAAGACTTGAAGGTGCATCTGGACAGTTTTACACTGTTCTGTCTCTCAAATGGGTAAAGAATCTGTGTGCTTCTGTCCTACCAGCTAAAAGCAAATATATGTTTTGGGAGCACAGCACTAAAATTAAAACTGAATTCTAAAGGATCCCCAACTGTGTGACATATTTAATCAAAATTATTTTCACATATAAGTAAACAAAATACAAGAAAAATCACAATTTTAGTAATTTTAAAGAAAAGATCACAAAATTCTGCAGACTGATGGAATATAGACTCGAAATATGTGTCAAATTCTTTACAGAATAATTCAAAATTGTGCAAAATTTACACCACTAATCAATACAAATGAAGCTATTTCCACCTCTGTGCTTTCTGCAGGTTATCATGGAGAGAAGGGAAGTGCTGATATCATTTGTTTTGTTTGGGTCTCCAGTTAAAGTCCCACTGACAGTTAGGAAGTCTTTTCCTGCAGATTGTTGACAAGGTGCTAAAACAGGGGCTCAAGGAAAAATACAAGGAAACCAATGAATTTTTATAGAGAATGATAAATGAAAGCACATAAAACTGACAGTGTGAGATTTATTGGTTGGATTCTTAGAAATGCCACTAACATCTTTTACAGTTTACAAACATATTGTCGTTTAGGCTGTAATAAAATTGTCCATCCTGTGCCTGCCTACCCTTGAGGACTAAATTTTTCAGCGACTCTCATTGGCTGACAGCCACTCAGACACCTGAGTCACAGAGGAAGGCAGAGGTCTGGTGATTGAAACTGGATAGCCTCATTGCGTTACAGCATTTTAGGAGAGATAACACACGGCGATAAAGCCTTAAAGGGAAAAAGAGAGGCCTTTGCAAGATGGTAGAGATAAATCAGCTATCCAGACTGGAAGCAACAGCGGTAACTTAATATGATTTTTATCTACAGAGATAAAAGAGGATGGACACTTGTTGGGATTATCACATCTTAATGGGCCAATTTCAATTTGTAATACTTATCACCTTCACACTGAGCCATAAAACTGCAGATGTGCCAGATATAAAAAAAACTAAAATGATTGAAGTAGATGTTCCACATAAATCTTTCACCGCAAAACAAAGAAAAGTGTACAAAAGCGAAAAAGAGAACATCTACCAAAAAAATGTGATTTATTTTAAAATGTACTTTTTTACTGCAGTGTGAACGTAGAATTACTGAATCATAATGGTTGGTTCAGGTAAAAACGAAAGCACAAACTTGTCTTCCCTGTAGGTTTACTAACTCCATCTGTACTTGAAGCTGTGAATTTGCCCTTCAGTTATACAAGGGATGAACCCAAGCAGGAAAAATGCATCAATCTTTAAACCAATGAAACTGAAAAAAAGGTATTTTAATTTTTATATTGCATTTATTTGAAATATTCACATGCAACATTTATAAGCAATGCTAAGTGAATATTTCCTGAACCAAAAAACTATTAACATTCTTTTAATTCCTTTAGGGATAATTAATTTGAAACTATAATGTCCCTTAATGCCCCCTTGTGGGTGGTGCAAGGCTCATTTTGATGTGTAGAGTTCCCTGTGACCATCCCTGCTGATTTTCACACACAACCATCCTTCAAGTTTGCAGCAGATGATTTAAGGAAAAGAAAATGTGCGGTGAATTGCAGATGTGTGGATGAAAATGCTTTGTGGATGTCAGAAGTCAAGGGGAAAAAATTGTAGACTGGGTCTTGTTGTTGTTAGAATAGCGACGTTAGCTCAGATTGTCACTTGTAATAACCAAGAAATGCACAGTAACATGTTTGAACTCACAAAACCTTGAACCATGAGGCAGATGGGAGGAGGACCACCCTGGGTGCCACTCCTGCCAACTAAGAACAGGAAACCGAGGCTGCAATTTCCACAACCTCAACAAATTAGATTGTTGCAGATTCCAAAACTGTTTCCTGATCTGATGAGAGTTGATTTCACTCAGGTTTCAAACAACATGCAAAAAATGGACCTATACGACCTGGTATTCGCAGCTGTTGGTGGTGCAATGCCACACCGTCTCACCCATTCTGGGCACCCTTTGGACCTTAACCAGCCAAACTATTGCTCCCGAGCGTGTCCATTGCTGTCCATTGCTTCATGGCCACAGTGTACCCTCTTTCTGATGGCTCGGTCCAGTAGGATAAAACTCAAATTATCTCAAACTGGTTCCTTAAATATGAAAGTGAATTCCTGGTACTCTATTAGCGTCCACAATTCTCAGTCTGTTGCAGAATCTACACCAGATCTCAGTCTATGACACATTTTGGATGGTGTGGGACAGAAGATTCACATCGTGGATGTGAGGCTGACAAATCTGCTTCAACCATTCGATTCTGCCATTGAAATCTCACATGAATGTCTCAAACATCTTGTTGAATCTGTGGTAAAAAGAAATGAAAGTTCTTAAGGCAAAATGGCACCTAACTTGATACTAAACAGAAGAGTCAGAATATTCTTTACCTTTTTCAGCTGCATTGCAGCAGGATGGATCTTAGGCTTCAACATTAAATGCAGAGAGATAAATATGGCCAATGGGGCATTTTTGCTATAGCACACAGTATAATGATTAATTAAATTAACCAATAAAGCAATCATCATCACAATCAGCATCTGTAGGAACAGAATCAGTGCTATCAGGCTGCTTCTTTCTGCCCAGCACCATCAACAAAGATAAACCCTATCATCACCTCTCACCTACTCTTATATGTTACTTTTGTTTGGAAGGGATTCCCACACACAAACACACGCACACACACACACACACACACACACACACACACACACACACACACACATACACACACACAGAGCAGTGCTTGCTCCCATATGTTAGAGGGAAGTTGAATTTCAGAAGGATGGATTGAGTAACCTCCACAGAGCACAATATTATTTATTTTGGTGTCACTCTGCAGGTAATGAATTTGTCAAATCAAGGAAAGGGCAAGAACAACCGGGATCAACCCTGGGACCTCCCCAGACGTTTTTTGCATGAAGGTGGAGTCATTGGGAAGAGGAGAGGAAGTGAGATGAGAGGAAAAAAACAAAAGGAGCAGGACAACCGAAGAGAACAGATGGATTGTCTGACATGCAGCTGGATGTTTAGGTCCTGAGTCCAGTGTTTGCTGAACAAAACTCCTGAGGACAAATCAAGATTCATCTACTTCAAACAGGTTGATGTAAGAGAACCCATTTTTATTTTCGGGGGACATTTTTGTAAGGTTTGGCAAGCATTTTACTAGGATATTAAGGTTTTTCTCTCCTCTTTTACAACTATGAACTGCCTGGAAATTCAATGATCTCTCTGGAGCAACTCAGGATATCAATTTAAACATCACAGGCAAACCTGAAAGAACTGCTGATCACAAGGATAACCCTGGTTTGTTTCTGAAATCTATGACTGTTTTTTATTTATTTTTTTTTTTTTACAATAATCAGTTTGGAAATATCCAATTTTAATGCACAGACTTGGGTGTGTTTCTCAGGTTTTCCATATTCAAATTTAATTCAGTTGGATATCCTACAACTTTATGCAGGTGGTGAAAAGTTTGGACACTGCAGTGCGATCACCTCAGCCAGTCTGGAGTGTGGAGGGCTCCCCTCCCTGCCCTCGTAGTCTCTCCTCACCCCCAGCAGCATGTCCCAGGCTCTAAGGCTGCCTCTAGTCCTCCTCACAGCACACTACCATGATCAGATGGGCTGCTGGAGGGAGTAAGGCTGCATTTGCCTCGTTCTGCTCCTGGGCCGGCTTGGGGGCTTACTCTGGCTCCGGGACCAGCTTCCGATCAAGGTCATCAGGACTGCTTTCCTCTCCGACTTTCTCTGTGTTGGTTGCTCTCCTGGCTTTCTCCCTGTGCTTTCCTGCGGTTGCGTGCCGTCAGAACCGCAGAGACAGACTGAGGTCCCCCGACCTGGAAACATCTGGGGTTCCACTGAACATTTCAGAGAGCAAATTAATCTCTAGACCTAGAGCCACCAGGGGCCCGTCTGGACAGGCTGGAGGACCGCAGGGGAGGCATGTGCGCAGCTACAATCACCTCCAAGGGGACATACGTAGGAGAAAGTTGTTCTCTTTCCAGAAGTTTTTCCTGAGGATCGATAGGAATGGACAAGTCAATGGGACCAAGAGCAAGGATGACCCACTCAGTAAGTAAAACCTCTTAATATGTAAAGATAAAATCAGTGGGATTGGGAGCCAATTCTGAAGATGGGAACCTCATCATCTACATACTATTAATTCAGCGCTAAGGTTTAAAGATATGAAACTACCTGGCTATGATAAATAAAACATATTTTCCCAGGCTGCTGGTTTGACAGAAGAATTTTCAATTTGAGTTGTGCTTTTCTTTTAAACCAGACATCTCACTGATATCTCTCCTGTCCAAACACTCAGCACAATGATGGTAGCTCTCAGTCGGCTTAAAAAGGAGCAGGAGCAGATAACTGGGCCATTATGAAGCGGTCTTCACAGCCCAGGGTAAACAGCGTTGATAAGAGCCACAGAGGAACAGGGCTGGTGCAAAGGGGGGGGGGCACATGAATGTCAGGCTCATTGATATTTTAGGCTCCTTTTCTTTTTCTCTTTCTGTTGTCTCCCACTCACATTGCTCTTCTGCGAGCGCAGGTTGGAGTAAATTGCACATTCTCAGTCACATTTGGGACAATTGTTTGACTTTTTCCACTCTAAGAAAAGTGTCTTTAGAAGTGATTACACGTTGTTTGTTTCACTGGATCTGTCAGTAAGGCAGCATTCTCATTTGTAACCCAGCATTCCCATCGAGCTTCGTGTGTGTGCGCCTATCAGGCACCCACATTTTCCCCATGGCTGTGCGATCATAAAGCAGGAGATAATGATGCATGCTCTCAATTTTTTCATTCATGTCTTTCAGTTTGTGAGTTATTTCACCAGGAAAAACTTTAGATTTATAATATTATTAACAAGAAGGTTCCTGGCCAAGCGCAGAGCAAATTAAAACATCATAAGATACAGCCAAACAAAAAAATAATATTATGGCACAAGATAAAGTAATAAAAATAAATACCATTTGGCATTTATTTATTTTGGTGCTGTATATTATCTACATATCAGATGATATACAGCATCATCTTAGGCGGATGATGCTGCATAACATTGCACATTTCTGCAAACATGTGACACCTGGGCTGTCATATGTTTGTACATACAAACAAGATGTTTGTATATTTCTTTAAAAACAGATATAGTAACGTAATTTTCTCTAATAGTTTACTGCAAGAAAATGCAGCTTTATGACTTCAATGAAAAATAACAACAGATCACGTAGTGTTATTTTGGCCTAAACAGGTGTCAGGGATCCCAAATAGGTCTCAGAAACAAAATAAATAGTAATTAATACTACATTTTGACACAATTACAGTGAAGACCAAAAATGTTTGAATCTGACATATCGATGATGACAGGACTATGACGAGAGTTTGTGATGAAGGAATCATGTAAAGTACGTTACCCTAGTGAAGCAACATCAAGAAACTTGCAGACACAAATCTTTACTTATACTTCTGTCCCTCTGTCACATTATTGTTATCTTCTTTGCAATTCTGTAGCAAATTATTAGGCTGGCTTGGATTTTTTTGGGACATAATGTTTAGGACAGTTTTGACAGTATTTACACAATTGTGACTCAAATATTTCTTAAGTATAGCTACTCTCAATCTCTTGTTACACTATGCAAGTGGGTTGGATTGGAGATTCAATCATCTTGGGATGCCAAATGCTTGAAACTGAAAGTGAAACTGATGCAATAATATATTTTCAGAATAACTCAGCTAATATTTATCTGACTATTTACTTGTAGCTCATTGACGTTTCATTTCCAGATGGACATTTGATCTTGAACACTGGAAAAAAAATGGTTATTTATGACACTGTAGCAAAAAATATTCAGCCCTGTCCAGATAAAGTGGAACTTTGTGAATTTCACACTCCTGATCCCAATACGCATTACCATTAAAGCCATTAAAATGCACCATGAAAAGCATAAATATTTGACTTGACAGCTCACTAAATTAGCTTTCTTAGCCTCAGAAGACACTAAAAATGGGCTTTCACAGAACTTTACCTTTCTGTCAACTTTTTAAAATGAAGCTTAAAATATTTAGAATTATCTATTCAGATTCCTAAATATTTATACAAAATGCTAAATCAAACTCTGAACCCTAAAGAGCAGTGATGGATAGCACAGAAATCGTAGTTTTGAATTAGAAAACATGTTAATTATTTTACATTCAAAAATAACTCAGCAATATTAAAATGTTGTTTTAATAAGGTGCGGATTCGACAGCTTGTCATCTGCAAAACACTTTAAATGACACATGCACACGTTCAAACGTGCTCTTCATTTTCCCAGTCTTCCAGTCGCACAGTCAGCGTATATACGAAGCTTTACTTCTCCTCTTGGAAGAGCCTGACCACACATTCAATCAAAGTGACTAAAGGGAAATAGCATGGGGGAAGCAGAATGTCAGGGGAGATGTTTGTTTGGACAAGGTCATGACAGAAGAAACTTTATTGAAGTGATGCCTTTACTGCTTACCTTTGTTAGCAGTTTCTTTTAAGTCGTAAAACTGGAGTGGTGCAAGGAAGTCTGACGCAGTTTTTTTGCGAATTTACCTTATGTTTGTTTGGAGGGTGAATTGCTTCTTTGTCTTTGTTTTTACTGAATCAAAATAAAGATTCAGTAAATCTTTATTAATAAAGACTTTTTTTTTTTTTTTTTTTTTTTGAAAAGTCATTTAGTCTTCACCAGGGTGGGAGGTGAAAGGGAGATCCTCTAGAGGTACAAGTTCATGAATAAGCTGACTGAACGTCATTGTAGCCACATCAAAGGTGTGCATCTTCTGTATCAATGGTGGTGCCATGAACAAGCTGTGTCCTAAGGGGGTCTAGGGACACTGTGTGTGGATTATTTACCATGTGAACTATCAGGTTCACATGGTAAAGAATACTACACAACAGCAGCTTCAGTCTTCTTTTTCTGGCCCCTGGGGCTAGGCATGATCCCAGAAACGGCGTCTTTTGTAGAGGACCCCTCATGATCTCTTGAAGTGACAAGCAGGATTTTCCTACCTATTCTGCTTACAAAATGGTAAGCATTGGTATATTTGGTCTATTTTAAATGGTGCGTTGGATGTGCGGATATTTGGTTTCAAGCGTTGCAGTTGACTCTGCAGAGACCCAGCTCTCTCTGTGTTACAGAGCCAGTATCCAGCCTCCCACAGATTTATGGGGATGCCAGTGTAAAACTGTCCCACATGGCTTTCCAGCCCGCCAGGGGCCTGTGCAGAGGTTACAGAGGCAGTGAGAATGGGAGGGAGATAAAGTCCTAAAGTCAGCTAAGTAGCTATCTCCACTGTCTGAGTGTGTAATTAAAATATCTATGATTCACAGCTGACTTCTTTTATATTTATAGGCAACTAGTAAGTTTAAGTGATGAGTGAAAGATTGCCAAATAAGAGCCAGTCTAACGCCTGGTGGTGAAACAGTTTAGCTCATTATCCTTGATGGTGTGAGAGGGGGAGCCTGTCAAGATTGAGTGTTAGTGTATGCATGGGATGTAGGCCATGTGTTCAGCGCACTTTGCAACGTAGCTCATGAAGTGTGTATGTGTGTGTGTGTGTGTGTGTGTATGTTGTTTTCTAGTTGAATGCGCTGGATGCACACTGATCTTTTTTTAATCAAAGCAAATAAAGACAGTGGTCTTCTGGGTGTCTGAAAAAGGACACATAAAACTTTTCATATGGGTCTCAAGTGAGGCCATTATCAACTGTTTGCTCGGTCTGCGCAGGTTTTGTTAAATGTTTTTTTCTCATCAGAAACAGGTCAGGAAAAAAAAAAATAGTTGTTGAAATGGAAGATTTTTACGGTGGCCACCGTAGATTTTGCTATTTTGAGGACAAATTCAGATGAGCAAAAAAATTGCATTTTGAATTTATTTTCATGTTTAAGATAAAAAAAAGCAAAAGATCAATTGAAAAGAAACATGAGAAATGTTTGTATCTCCAAATATTATACTGTGACTGCAGGAAGGGCTGTTTTTCCCTGCATTACTCAAAGATGTTGTCCCACATTTCTTTAACAGTAGAACAAATATAGATGGTCAAGAACATGTAAAACCTGTAAAAAAAAATAGTGGTATGAGTGTTACAACTTAGATATACGTTCATATGCGCCGCTGCTAGAAAATTTACACAAATGCTCATTCAAATTTCACAGCAGTGATCCTATAATACAAGAATGATATCTGGGGGTGACAGGGGAACAGGAATATGAGTTCATCCTGTAATTGGTGGGTTGCAGCCTGGCTTCATCTGTCTTAGTCATTGTGTCCTTGGACAAGCTACTTCACTGCCCTGCCTGCTGCTGGTGGTCAGAGGGCCCATTGTCTCAACTGCATTGCAGTCTCGCTTCTGTCAGACTGCCCCAGGGCATCTTTGGCTACAGTCTATAACAACTTAGTAGTTATAATACTTGTGAATGTGTGAATGAATGTAGTGTAAAGCACTTTGGAATCCTCTGGGCTGGATGAAGCAAAATTACAGGTACAGGACATTTTCTGTTTACCTCATATCATTTTGTGCTATGCAAACGTTCTATTTGCGCTGATGTAGATTCACTCACCTCAGCATGACGAATACTTTGAGATGCTCCAACTGATGGGAGTCTGAATACTGTCTTTCAACTAATATTAACCATTTGGCTCGATTCATAGACGGAGTATAGAGCCTTCACTCTAAGCGGTTGAGGTGATCATTAAGTTAGAAAAAAAATTATTAATAAATAAGATGTTGGCATCATGGCACATTAATCTGTCCTGATGAATTTATTTATATATATGTATAATGCTTAACTTTCTTCCCTGGCTGGTTAGATTAGACAACAACACACTGGTATCATGGCAACCTAGTTTTTTTTTGTTTGTTTTTTTCCTGACACAGTTGCAAATTATACATTTTCCACCCTAAAGCTGACTTTTACATACTTGGCAAGATAAGAAGCAGTGTGAAATCAACCTTTGGGTGAAAAAAAAAAAAAAAAAAAAAAAAGAAAAACATCAAAATGCTACAAGCTGCTAAGTGCAACAATTTTGTTTTTGGCATACCACTGTGGAAAAAAATCCCACCTTCAGTTCCTACTGGCTTAATCTGTTTCACAACCAGCATGTAATTAGGTGCTGTAATTCCAAACAGGAAATGCATACAATATTCAAAGGGAAAACAAAAGCCACAATATATAAATTTCCGTCTAGATAGCCTCTTAAAAATGGTAGTTATTGGTTATTTTCCTCCAACATTTGTAGAAAAGCACATTCACCTGCTACATTTTCTTATGCATGTGCATGCCGAGTGTGTGTGTGTAGGTGTGTGTGTGTGTGTGTGTGTGTGTGTGTGTGCATGCATGTGTGTGTGCACATTAGCACGCGTGCGTGTGTGTATATACAACCTGTCTCGCCCCTGCCTCCGGTGGCTGACTTTGATCAGTGATCATTACAGCCTTTCTAATCCTCACTCCACCCCCAGTCTCACTGTCATGGCTCCTCTGTCCTCCTCTGTTCTCCTTCCTTTCATCCCTCCCATGTTTACAGAGCAGCCAGAGACTGCCATAGATTGTCTTACATCCTCACTCCATACCTGACATCCGATCCCTTACAGAAAACCAGCTCCACTCAGATCTTCAATGGCCGTTGTGTCACAGTCCCCACCACCGCCTTGTGGCTTCAGACCTCACAGCCCCGAGGTGCCACCGTTTGAACTAGAAACTGATACAGCCAAGACCTCACGGACAAGGAGGGAAGTTGCTGTATATTTAAGAGGGGTATTTGTTCTTTTGGAGGGGGTGGTGGCACACCTGGATTCTCCACTGTCCACTCATGTACACGGCTGGAGACCTCAGGCAGAGGAGAGTGGGAGCGACAGTGGACCAGAGCGCCACACAAACAGTCATCAGACACAGACGGGACTGCAGATCTGATCAAAGGATGTCATTGACTCTCCGGAGTTCACGCCCCCACGCCGGTCTCCGTCTGTGTGCGTGTGTGTGTGCGTGTGCGTGTGTGTGTCTGCGTGTGCCTACACATGGATGCTTATCGAGATAAAATAACGACAGCTCACAGGAAGTGGGGAAAGGAAGTCAGGGAGGGCGGCAAGAAATCAAACATGTCATGGGAACCAGCAGGACTCTCTCACAAACACACACCAGCAGCAAAACACGAGACAAGTGGGCTCTGTGGTCAGAGGACACATTAGGAAGTTATATCTCTCTGACCTCTGATACTGAGACCACACAAATAATCGTGGCTGTCTGCAGGAAAAACACACGCTTGTTACCCCAGGTATAAATTAACCCCTCTGCCAGCCTATGAGAAACCCAAATTATTTGTGTAGCCTAAATACCAAACAGAGCATAAACAGCCAGAGATTCTCTGTGGAATCCACCTATTAATTTTCCAACAAAATGACCTGTGCAGCTGGAATCTGTTACGCAGGTGTAGGCTGTAAACTAACTTTATAATATCACCAAAATGATAAATGTGCTCAGGAATAATTGTAACCTTAAAAAGAACTCCCACATATTCCCACATGTAAATGTACTGCACTTTGAAGGTCACTAGTCATTCAGATCCATGGTCCTGAAACAAGTAACGCTGCTGGTATTTGGGCTGCCTGAGGCGGTACTCCAAAACCTTAATAGTACTTATTTACAAAAAAAGATATGCATAAACTAATAGTGATGTACGGTGGATAAACACAGGCAGCATAAAAGATTAGTCAGAGTCAACCCCAGGTGTGAGCAAACACTGCTGCTCTGGGCCCAGAGGATAACAGGGCACTGCCAACACTGAATTATGGTAAAGAATATAAATCTAAAACACTCTGTTTCTGAAATCCTGTTTTTCAACAATAAGCAGATTTTTTAATCTGCTCCCAAGTTTTCACATAAAAAAATGTCCTATTTTCTTATTATTATTATTTTAGAATTTTTCCTTATTTTCAGACCTACTTAAAACTTGTTGTTGAAATGATGGTACACTGGACACAAGCAGAACATGAAATAATCTTATCTGCACAATCTTTTTACAGCTGTCACCATCTATTTCTTCTTTTGCATTATTTTACTCTTAACGCAATTTATAGAAAATGTATAACTTTATGTCATGATTTTATTTTATCCATCCATTTAAATAAATAATGGGAAGTCACCGTAGAAGTGACTTATATGAGGGTCACAAAAATCATTGCTGCTATACAATTAATGAAATTCATTGTCACCTCGCTAGTTTATGGATGTCCAAAGGTTACACAATTAAACGAAAAGAATGAATCTGTCAGTTTTGGGTTGTGGTGGGGACAAAAAAAAAAATCAAAATTAATGAATAAATAATGTATAAAATAAAATTGTTTTCATTATAAAACATATTTGTCTTATTGGCAAAAATTCTACATATTAATTTCCTCACATATTTAATTATTTCATGGTTGTTTGCTAGTAAAGTCTGAAAACTAGTTGTGTTAAAGTCCAAGAGTACAAATAATGAAGCTGGAAATTTTTTAAAGATGATCTAAATGCTGCAAAATCTCAAATCACATTCAAGTCATTCAAATGCTTGTAATTGAGACAATTTACAATGGATTTCTCTGTATTTTTTCTTTCAAACGTCAGCAACACACTAAAGAAGTGTGTGGAAAACAAAATAAGTATATGGGATGTGCAGATCTGAATTTGACGTCATCTTGTAAATGTTCCAGCAATCCAGAGATCCTTTATGAAGTCATGGTGCATGCAAGGGGATTGTTTGTTTATTTTGATAATCACCATATAATGATGTAACCTTTTTTTTGTATTTCTTAGGTATTTTGGAAATCACATCAGTGGAAGTGGGAGTGGTGGCCATTAAAGGGCTGAACAGCAACTACTATCTGGCCATCAGCAGGAAAGGAGAGCTGTACGGAGCGGTTAGTATCCAAGTCAGAGGTCAATCTGAATGCTCCACAGAGACAGATAGTGTTAGATTGTTCGGTTTTTATTGCGGGCAACCTGATCTTTACCTCCATGCCAGTTGGATCAAATCCACAATCAGGCCTGTGGACACATGCAGACCTGCAGGAGAGCTATGCAATCACACAGCTTGTCCAAAGACAAAATGCAGAATAGGGCAAAGCATGCAACATCCATCAAATTAGTGGTTTGGGTGTTTTGAAGTGAGATCCTGTGAAGGTATTGTCAACAATAGTTCTCTTACCTCCAGTAGAACATTGCCAGATTGCTGTGAGCTTGTAGGAGATGAAATGATTCACAGCATGGTGTTATCCATCATACTGACCCTTTATCTCAGCTGCTTTTCGCCATTTAAAACAATTCAAACAAATACAAATAATCATAGAATTTTATCACTCATGAAACCTGAGTTTGCTCCTGGTTTCTTAGATGATTAATGCCCATGTTAGATTTTGTAGATAATTCCAGTGTCACTCAGAAACAACCAAAATGGAATGCTAATGAAAATAAAATATTCTTTTAAACCTAAATCTGCCTTAACTGGTTATATACATTTGGTGATGACATAATTTAGTTATTAGTGACTTTTAGGACAACTTACTTTACTGAGGAGTTGATAATGTATATTTTATGTTATTTACTTGTTTGGCCAACATAATAACAAACTTAATGGTGTTTGTGAAGATGCAGATGGTTAATGTCCATCGTTTGTACCGTGCATCACGAGATGCACGATTCTGCTTGAATTATTCTAAATTACTAAAATAAGTGAAAATGTGTTGTTTACTGCTTAAGGAGTTTTACTTTTCAACACACAATAATCTCACAGGAATGCACTTCCTGTGAGATTATAGACTGGCAAAACCTAGTTAATAACTTTGAAACATAGTGTTTTATAACAAAAATTGATCTGTGCTGGAAAATGACCCATTTTTCACCTCGTCTGACATAAGCATTCTTCTGATTTTGCAGAGAGAGTTTGGTGTCGACTGCAAGCTGAAGGAGCGCATCGAGGAGAACGGCTACAACACCTACGCTTCGGCTGAGTGGAAGAACAAGAAGCGGCAGATGTTTGTGGGGCTGAACGTCCATGGGAAGCCGCTGAGGGGAATGAAAACCCGGAGGAAGAAAACATCAACCCACTTCCTTCCAATGATGGTGTGAACCAAGGAGCCCACCTGGAGTGGAAACAGATACACAGAGCACTGGACATGAGAGGTTTTAAATACCAGACAACCATGAATCAAAGACATGCGTTGAAAAATCTCTCATTTGGGAAAAGAAAAAGGCACTAACACTGTTAAACGACGTGAACTCTGATTTGGTTGAGATTGCTTATTTCCTTTAGGTGAGAGATGTTAATCTGAGTTTTGAGTGGCACCCAAGGCAGGGGTCATCTTTATTTTTTTACTGTGCCAAACAGTTTGAAGCTGAAGTCTGTGGACAACAGAGAAAGTACTATCCAAGCTAGATGTATCGAAATATGGTATTTATAATCCAACTTCTCCAGAGAGGCAGGGAACAAGGTCTGGCAGAAAATGGCAAAGGTAAAAATCAGATTATCATGACAGCATGAAATATTAAGAATTAAAGCACATTTAAAATAATTGTTTGATACTTAACCACTGAGTTTTGGCTGAATTTTATTGATTTATTTATTTTTGTGAGATATTTAACTGGAAAGAACACCAGCAATCCTCTGCGTTCTACTTTTTATAGGATCTCTCTATCATGTGAAAATAAAACTACGATTCTTCTCTGCAGCAGTGTGGATGTTTGTTCCTTCTCACACAAAGGGCACAGAAAGCTGCAGAAAAAAAAAAAAAGCAAAGTATCAGCACATGTCCTGAGAAACACTGGCAAGCATTCAGGTCAGAGTAGGTCTCATTCTTATCTGGCTTAGTCTGAGGTAGGGAGGGACAAATAGCAGTCATTAATGCTCGGCCAGATCCTCCATGTGGGAACCATTCTGCTAATGATTAGTTCCCAAACAAACAGGGAAACAAACCACAACAAAATCGCGGGGAGTCAACTTCCCCGGTGTGACCTGTAGATATTGACATCATTTCCTAATGTCATCCCATTTCTGCAGCAACAATTCCTGATTGTGGAACAGATAGAAATCAACTACATTTTATAATAATAAAATAAAAATAAAATCAACTTTGTCACGCTTATCCAGATCCTCTATGCAAAGGAGGTTTAAGGAGGAGGATCTGAGTGTGTGTGAGGGAGGAGAAAAAAAAAAAGAGATATGACCTGCGTCTGACCGCCCACTTCCCTCAGCAATCATTTACAAACACACTAATCAATGACAGCTGTCCTGATGGCAGATGAAAAGACTGTGCGGGGAACATTAACACCACAGGCTTCCGGGCCTCATGTTCTCTTATCCTGCCTTTTCGAGCATCTATCTCTGCACAGACAGTTAGAAAAAACAGAGGAGGAGGAGTGGAAGAGGAAGACGGAGACACGGAAGAAGGACAGACAGACGCAACATCTTCCTTCTGAAACTCTTCGTTGGTTCCTGACTAGAACAACAACTAGAAAGAAAACATCAATCTGAATTTCTTCTCTTAATCTTTGGAGAACACAAAGATACAGTATGTGTTTGAGGTTGAAGCTAAATTTCTAAGCTTCCAACTTCCACCTCTGGAAGTTGGACATTCCTCATTTAAAAAAACGACTTTCATATATTTTACTCAGATTTTTAAGTTATAGACTGGCAAAACGTAGTTAATAACTTTAAAGGGGATTGTACTTAATCCACTTTATTTTTGATACCCTTAAACTAAAATCACCTTTGATCTGGTTTCTTTGAGGAAAACCAACAGCAAGGACACCAAGCAGTAGGAATGAGGATGAAGTCACGTAGACGTTTAAAGCAGAGTTTGTCTGAAATCTATAAATGCTAATATTAAGGCACCAAGACAGAACAGCTAAATCAAGAGAGGTCAAGCTAAATAAACTGAAAGATCCAAAAAAGGGAGTATTAATTGGAAAAGCAGCCAAGAGACTGAATGAGTTTCTCCAGACAGCCACAGCTCAGTGAGGAAAATCTGCTGACTAAACATTAAAGTATTTAACAAATCTGATCAAATATGGATTAGTGGCAGAGAAAAAAGATGTAGTGGAGAAAAAATCCTTAGAGATCCAATTTGCTGTTTAACACAAGGCACAGCAAACCTGCAGAAGAAGCTCTGGACAGATGAGACCAACCTTTTGGCTTAAAGTACTGTGTGACAGGAAAGTAGCAACCGTACATCACCCTTAACACACAATCTCTATTCTAAAGCATGGCAAAGGAGCCTAATGCTGTGAAGACATTTTTGTTTGTTTGTCTGTTTCAGAAAATACAGCAAAACTGTTGATGGAATAATGGAAGACAGAACAATCCTGGAAGAAAACCTGCTGCAGACGTGAGCCTGGGGTGGAGGGTCACCTTCCAGCAGGACTCTAATCCTAAACATTCAGTTCAGGTGTCTCAATGGTTTAATAAAAGTCAGGATGTAAAGTAAAATTGGATTCTGAATGAAGACTTGAAAATTGATGTTTACTGCTACTCTCCATTAAATGTGACTGAGCATGAGGAATTTCGCTGAAAAATGAACTGATGTTCCAGTCTGTTGATGTGCAAAGCTGACTGACTCACCCCAAAAGACTAGCAGCTGCAATACCAGTAGAAGGTATACCAGTAAAAGGTACTGGCATGCAAACATTAGTTTTCCATCTGCTTCATAGAAATGCACTACTTATGAGTCTACCACTTAAAATCCCAGTGAAATACATTAACATTTGTGGTCGACTCATGACAAAATAGAAGGAGGTTATTACTGATTCATAATTTTTTTAAGTCTTTTTGAAAAATGTTTATTTCCGTGATAAAACCAGAACCATCCATTATTTTTTCTGGAACCTAAACGAAGGTGAGTTCAACCATCTGAGAATTACAATATGGGCAATTTAATTTTTTTTTATTAAAGATAAAACACATATGAAATGAAACTATGGGTGGTGAATGGTCATGTGATTGTCCTGCACTGAGTACGGTATCAGTTCCTGCTATATGTGCAAGTTGCTGTTTAGAGGAGGATTTGTCTGTGATTTTGGATCATTGCCCTGATGCAGAACCAAAGTATTCTTGAACTTAACATCATAAAATGACAGTCAAACGTTCTGCTTTGGGATTTTCTGGAGAAGAGTCATTATGGTGCTGACCACTCTGGGTATGATGTTCTTTTTGACAATTTCATATCAAATGTAACATGACACACGCCAGACAAAACACACACCAGGCAAAATACACTTCACATTCTATATTTTCTCTCAAAAGTCTCAGAGATCATCAAGATGTTTTTATCTGAAAATGACCAGCTTGTTTTTTTCTTTCTTTCTTTTTCTTTTTTTTTTCAGAATTTGATTTTACCTGAGAAATCTCCAATGGTTGCTATTTCTGTCTATTCTTTTTTTTTCCTCAATATTGAATTATGTACATTGACCATAACTCAGGCAAGAGAAGTCTGCAGAGACAAAGATGATGTTCTCATTTTTTTCTGACCTTCAGGTGAGTCAGCAGTTCTCTATTGGAGTAATTTGGGGACTTTGACCTCCTTTTAACCTTTTCTCTATTTGCAGATAGTGTGATGCTGTTTGTTGCCTTTTTGTTTATTTTTAGCTTACTTCAAGTTGTCATAGCAGTTCTGTTTAGGTAACCAGTCTGACTATAATCAGACCTGGGTGTGGACTGGAGCAGTGAGGTTCATTGCTTCATGATTTGACAAGAACCACGGTTGCTATTGTTGTTGTTGTTGTTTTTTTCACACTGGGCAAATTTGGTCTGCATAACTTTTGTCTCTTAATAAATTGTATCATCTCTTTAAAAACTGCATGTCGAATTTCCTCAGGTTATCCTATATTTAGAGTAAAATGGTGCTTTGTTATCTGAGAATCCTCCTTCAGTCCCCAAAAATAGAAGAAATCTGTATGGGGGCAATTTTATTGTTGAAACTTCAGCAGCTGCTCTTTGTTTATTTCCAAATCAGAATTTTATTGAAAGGTTTAAATCGTGAGATTATATAATGGAATATTAAATTAGCTCATTTTTTCCAGATCCCGTCTCTAATCTGTTCAGATTTTGCATTTATTGTTTCGCGACCTTCATGTTCCTGTTTTATGCTTTTCATAAAATTTTACTCAGCTTCATGTTGCTGGGGAACCAATACAATAAAAGCAGTTAATGATGAAGTGAGTAACCAGCCAGGGAGAACCTCATCCACACACAAATCCCAGTCATTCGTCATCTTCACATTCTCAAGACCTGTGAATGTTTGAACTCTCTCCAAGAATCTGGAATGGGGAGAAAACAGCAGCAATACTGGAATAATCTTTTATCAGAGTGGGTCTCTGAATTTGCGGCTCAGGCATTCTCTGTAGCATAATGCGATCCAGCTTTGGGAAACAAGTGGAAAATGCCTGGAGGCCAAAAACAACTAATGAATGCTTACGTTGGGATGTCTGGTGCAACACATGTTTGGAGAAGGCTGCTACTGAGAGAGGTCTGATGAGAGGTGCTTAATTCCATAATCTACTTATTCTGTGGTGGAAAAAATGTGTTACTGATCTCAAACTTTTGGCAGTTTAAAAAGCTGAGATGAGTTTTATCATCACGAAAGTCTATTTTGGAAACTGTTGAAGTTGCAAGCCAACAACAACTAACTCCATGGAAAACGAGGACAGATTGGTCATGCCTTTGATATTTATTGAGGAAATTTGTTTTGTTTGTTTTTGTTTTTGCCTTCTTTTAAAGAACTGTGCATAGACATTTTAAAATGGGGTATTTTCTTACTAAGGCAATAAAAAAAAGTAGAAAATATCAACTGTAAACATTAAAGGAAGCTTTCTATCATTTTGAAAATTCAAAAGAAGACTGAAAATATGTACAAATGACATTTTCAAATGAATCCCTTTTTTGCATTGATGAAAAACACAAGTCGTCTATTGCGTCACATTTTTCTTTTATTTATTTGTTGTTAAATCTAATTTGTATTAGTTAAAAACAATCATCAGCTGGATCTATAGATAAAAAACAACTACTTATTTAAAGTGGAATGAAAAAAAAAACAATATTCAATTTGGTCTATGTTCTTCTTTGTTCTTTTAAGATTTCCATCTGAAAAAGTTTTTACTTCAGAGACGAGTCAAATGAAAGGTGGGGGGATAAATGTGTATTGTATCTTTTTTAATGGATAATAGATATAATTTAATTTGCATAAACTTTTTAATAGATAGTTTCTGTAGGTCGGTTATGGCATAAATTATTATCATAAATTGGAAAACAGGACATTTCAAGTAGATGAGATAAAATTATTTATTTCAGTCAAGATGAACATTTTAGCTATTCTAACTACCAGCTATCCTAGTAACAAAAAAATATTAAAGATATCTTTAATGTTTTTATTTCTTAGGAAAAGCTAAGTTTCCCTATAAATGTGATGTATTTGCTTTGTATATCCACCAGTACATTAACAGTAGGGGAAATAATATTTTGGATGTCTTAGTAGAACTTATAGCATCAATGTTATCCGTAGTGAAAATTTGGAAACATTTTGAAATGATCTAATTCCAATTTTAATCTCAGATTTTTGAGAGAAAAAAGTCCGATTTTTTTCTCAATTGCCACAATCTCTTCATTCCTTTCTAAATATTTTTTTAGTTGGAAGAAATAATCTTGATAATTGCAGTCTAAATAGGTCTAATATGCA